TAAGGTCTTTCTCAAAGTTAGTTAAAAAGCAAATTATTTTCTCTCATTACTTTGAAAACATTTTGATTATTGCATAAATAATTAATTCTAATTACCGCCGTACTTGATACGAATCTGGTTAGCAGTTCACCCGCGAGAAATTCAAAGTCTGTTCGGATACCGTAATTAAGTTCGAAAACCGAGACTTTTTTCAATATTGATCAACATGATTTAGTGTATATCTATTAGAATTTGAATTGACGCTAATTACAACTATTGAAGAAATTATATGTTGATTGATCGGAAAGTTTCTATAACATTTATAGTGAAACATATTGAAAAATACACATAATATATGTACACAAGTTTTAAAAATGATGTAGCAAGCGCGAAATCTGGGACTTCGCTTCTCATCGTCACTCGTTATGCATTTCTCTTACAATTAATTTTACTCGTTAAGCGAAACAGTCGTTATGCGAGTTGCGCGCTAAGCAAGGTTCCACTGTATTTTTTCATGTTTAGTGGCAGAAAAAGTCATATCCATCAAATCTTACTTTTAGAATAGGCCTTGCTTCTTGATACAAAAGTTACCTTTAGAAAAATATTAAGACAATAGAATGTACTCATGAAAATATATAATTTTTAAATATGTAAAAATATAAGAATATACAGGTTGTTCTTAAGTCGGGGGAATTTGTTTGTAAGTTCGGGAATTCGGAAGTTCGTAAGTCGGGGGATACCTGTACAGTATATTTAATAAAATATATGATCGGATTTCGAACAAATCGCTTAACAAACACTTTCGCAAAAAAATTATAAGTTTAGACAAAATTATGTTCGAATATTAAATCGTTTAACGAACAATTCGGATAGTCTTTTCACGGATTATATATTCTTTAACGGATGTATTTAATGAAATTGGTACATCTATCATTATGTGCTTAGTATTAATTATTTATATAAGACAATTCTGATATTTCAAAACATATTTTTTTATTAAAGAAAGCATTTGATTTCATGCGATTTGGGTGAACAAACAAACAAAATATATACACACACAAAAAAAAATCTCATTCAATTAAAACTATACCACGAGTAAAAAAGGAAACGCTTTCGTAATTCCGATGAGGTTCCTCGATGAAGAAATGCGTGCAATTAGTAAATTTGACAATGATGCAGAAATTTACATATAATAAATATATTTAAAAAAAATATATATATATGAAATCCAATGAAACCGACGTAACTTTCTCCAATTTACGTCTGTATAAATTAAGACGCGCTACATGAAAATTATATAATATTTTTTCGGGCATAGGAAATGGAGGCCTTTACATACGGTCACTCTTCAATTAGAAACTTCGATTTCATATATCGATTCTTCCACAAACATTTGCGGAATTATCTACCAACATTTGCGGATTCATCGTTGGATCTACGCAATTGCATTTGGCAAATGGTAAATTGCAAATTGCAACCGCGGCGTCTCAATTAAGAAATATAACAGAATGGGTGACATTTAATAAACGTAATAGACTTTACTTCGGTTAAGAAATAACAATTAAACGGTGATTACAATTCTTAAAATTTGTGTACTATTCAATTCCAATGCTCGTTTGTTGTTGTTGTTGTTTTTTCTTTTGCTTGGCTTCTTTTTTTCAACACTTATTTTATGAACTTTCACGCGCTGGATAATTAAAATCACACTGGAAAACTTCCATTTTTTGTTTGTGCTTCCGTCTTTTCCGCAAGTTTATATCACGCACTTAAATGTCAGAATTGAAATGAATTGTTTGTTATCCATTGAAAACAGATTCCGGAATGTTCCAGTCTACTATTCTGCTTTTTGTTCAAATTTAACACTTCTTCCTATTCTCAAAAAACATAAAAATCATTTATGTAATCTCTATTACACATTTCAGATAGGTGTTTTATTGCGCAACGGTTTTTCTTATAGACAATAAACCCTTGGGTTATATTTAATTTCTGTATATTGTTTTAAATGCATGTGGCGAAACCATTTGGAAAGTATAAAGAAAGAACTCTCTTTATAACTATATTTATTTTTTGAGTATGGGAATCTATGCTTTTTAATTATTGTACATGTAAATACGCATCTTTAATATTTTTCTTTAGAACTTGTTGTTTTTCTATTCCAAGGAATAATAATAATTTAAAAAAATTCAAAATCTCAACTTTCAAACTTTTTAACTACTAAAAACATATTATTCAATATATATATATGAAAATAATTCATGATAAACTTCTAATCAAAGAGAAATACTTGTCAATATTAACTGACTTGTATTAAAATTCCTCAAGGAAGTAAACTGGAAAGTACTATTAATAGTGCTGATTTAATTTGAGCAAAATAAAAATAATTAAAAAGGTACACAAAATATTGTTTTATACATAATTGTATGATTTTTTCTCACTTTTTGTGCTGTTTATTTTTATGCGGTTTTAACATTTTTGATCAGTTTTAAACACTGCGAATATTGCAAACCATACTATATCAGGAAATATATTCGGTTAGAAAATTAAACTGGAATAGTCCAACACAATACAAAAAAACAACAATAAACTATCTGGAAAGTATTTCCATTTTTTAATGTATGATAATTAAACAAATAAATATTTCAATTGAATACAGGTATCCCCCGACTTACGAAGTAGTTCCGTTCCAAAGGGTTGTTCGTAAGTCGAATGTGTTTCTAAGTCGGGGAATTTTTAAAATTTCAAAATATACTTATCTTACCACACTTTATCATGGTTTTTACTTTTATATATGTTAAATTCCGTATAATCCCTGACTGCATTAAAATAAACAAAATACTTACAAATGCTTGTAAACAAATGCAACTAAATAGATAGTAAATCTTCCAAAAATATTATATTTTATTAAAGTACCAATTTTTGTTTGGACAGTTCATTTTTTTACTATTATATATCACCTTGTAACAAGTTAGAGCTTTTATAATTTTGTTCGTAAGTCCGGGAGTTGGTAAGTCGGTGGATATCTGTATACTAAAAACTATTAAAGTTTTATGGTACATAAAAAATGGAGTTAGATCTGATTTTGTAATTTATTTTTAAATAAGAAAATGTTATACCAAGACATTTGTTTATTTTTAAATCTACTTGACGACGCAACGAATGAATCATTTCTAGCCTTTGGGTCTACCTTTAAGATTAAGATCTATATTGTGCATTGACATTATGAAATAAAGAGGAATTTTCCTTTGTCACTTTCAAACAAGTTTTAACGGAAAGACAATTACCTAAATAGTAATTTAATAAATTGTACTCAAAATATAATATTTTTATTCAACCTTTATTAATTTTCAATTTATGAACAGTGGGTAAACGAACGGTACGGACTGCAAACAAATCGGACAACAAAAACTTTCGTTACAGTTTTGTTATGTTCAAACAACATACACATGTTCGTATAACGAATACTTTACCGGCCAATTGACGTTACTTTTGATAGTGCTAAATCGATGTTTGGTTAACGTAAAATTGTATATGTTTGTAACATTGAGATCTTACTCAAATATATTAAATTCACTTAGTTGTACTTTTCTTCATGTAATATGTTTTTCTAGTACATAATCAATTTAGGCAAATACTCAAAGTACGTTTTAATAAATCTAATTGCCGTGTATCTTCGAAGCTTTTGTTTGATTTAAAATTTACTGATGATTAATATTATTACATGTTTTTATTTTCCACTTTAATTGACGTTATTGGATGGTGTGCTAATTTGGAACGAATCGATTGTTTATTAATGATGTAATCCGTTTTTTTTGTTTCATTGACCGTCAGCAGATTTTTTCTATATCTTTCTATTCATTTTTTGTTTATCCAGTTACTCCACGATTCCGGCGTCGAATATCAGTTCCACTTCCGTGTAAGTATTTCTTTATTATGATTCCTACATTTATTTTAATGAATCCAAGAGATTTCTTCTTAATAAAACATTAAATTGAACTTTACACTTATGATAAAAAATACCAAATCAAATGCTTCACTAGAATTATTGAAAAAAATACTGCATTTTATGATCAATGTTATGAACCCAAGGTTATAATAGTGAATTTAAAAAAAAATCGCTTCATTATAATCATTCTCATTAAATATTGTTTAATAAAAAGGAAACAAAAATATTTTTAGCATTTTTATCTGTGTTCTTTTAAGGTATGCATTTGGTAAATTGTATAAACTCCTTGTGAAAACTTTGAAAAATACTCCTGACCCTAATAGACTTATTGACACTGAAGATTCCGACATTGAAGTTATACCATTTACGGAAAACTATTTACATCCAGTTCTAGAAAAGGTATTAATAGGCAATTCTGAATAATTCAATGGGTGAAAGCTTTTTTTTCTTGCAAATTCTTAACAAATACGTATCAAGATTTTCTTTTAAGATTGAGATAATTTCATCTTATTTTATGTGTTGCATATTTATATTCGTCATGACTACATAATTTATGATATAATCTTATTTAATATTAAAATAAAAGAAAATTGTGATGGCATATTTTTTTCATAATAAGTATAAACAACATATGCTTTAATATGTTTATTAATCTCTTATTAAAAAGATTTATAAAAAAATATAAGTGTTCTTTAATCATTTTTGATTGATTGTCTTTAAAAATTCCTCTACATTTATATACATTCTCATTTATTTTCTTTCAATAGTAAAGTTTTTATCAAATATTATCTTATTAATAAATATGACTGGTGAAAATAAGCTGTTATTGTATTCTGAGATATTAATTGTAAGTAAAATCAAGAAATTCTGGGAAATACAGATATTTTGATGTTGAACAAAAGTTTGAAATTAATTAAACATATGTGAACATTTATTTTTATGTATGCTTAAAGATATTATAATATTGACTGAAAGAAGGATCAAATTTTTATATTGTTTTCAAAAATGTAAGTGCTGCAAGTTAAGTTGCATAGCATCAATGAAGAGCGAGTGAGATCAAACGAAGAATCAGCTGCTAACTTCATAGTGTTTTCAGTGAATGTACGAAAATTTTGTCATTTATTATCTTGGTGTTGCATGTAAATGTTGATTTGTTTGTGCAGAAATAGATTAAAGGTAAGTTAACAGCATCCAAATCGAACACGAAATCCTAAAGCAAACTTTCCTTTCGCTTTTCGCTACCAAAAAGGGAACATAAACGAACTATACAGACAATACAAACAAAAGTATGTTAAAATTAGCATAAATTTCTTCTTTTTTTATTCTTCTTTGATATTCATATTCCACCGCCCACTTAATTATCTATTCGAACTGTAAATAACAATTATCAAAACTTCTGAAGAGAGACGTGGCTTCCTTTCGTTCCGTTTCATTTATTTAGAGACATTTCTATAAATATACTTTTTTACACAAAAAAGAGGATTGTCATGCTTTGTTTTGGGAATTTCATGCAATTATCTCTCCAACGCGTTGTGCATATGTATTTTTAAAAAATATCAAATCATTCCGTGTCAATTTTCACAGATAATTTGCATGGATAAAATAAAAGTTAATAATGTAAATAATATAATTAATTGCTCATTAAATTAATCTAATTTTGTTGTCATAGCAAAAAAATAGTATTAATCGTGAATTATAATAAATTATCACGGTTTTCGCTGCGGTCGTCTCTATAATTAGATTATTCAATTATATTTTACGTTAAATAAATAGCGCCAGTTTATTAACCACGAGAGGGCGCGTCCCTCGACTTTTTGAAACTTTGTCTATTGTTATCATTTATTTCTTATCTACATTATCGATTAAGGTGATTCAAGTAAAATGGATTTATGTTTCAGTATCAAACAAGATGCCAGCTGCTAGGAAGCTGACTTTTAGCTCAAAGCTGAGTAGGAGTGATCCTCATGAGAGCCCTGTTTTGATTGTTGGGCAAGTGAAGCACTTGAACCAACTTAAATTTTCTGATGTGAAACTTAAACTTGAACCAAGAGTCACTGAAGAGGTAAGAGCTTATATTTTTCTGCTTGCATAATTTAATTTATTTTATTTGTTTATAGGTGTTTAAGAATGCTATAGCCAGTTTACAGCCTTCACCCACAGACAGTTGCTCCTTATATTTGAATTTGGCGACTGTCGCTGCTTTGCCTGTTAAATGCAGCAGACATAACACTCCTTCAAGATCCCATACTTTGACTCGTTTAGTACAAAGTTATGTTGTCGGAGTAAATGAGAGCATCGTCGTAAGTATACACCATAAAACTCGCATCAAACTGACGTCACTTTAACATCTGCCGTTTACAATTTCAGATAGTTTGCGAAAAGAAAGATGTCTACGCCAGTGGCTGTGCCGTTGCTCGCGCCTTTCCGACTTACTCGAGAAAGACAACAATTTCCAATTCGAACAATAATGTTACAATTGAATTCATTGTTATTCCCAATCGTAAGTAGCTTTGTATCTTATCTTATTTGTGATATTTCTATGCGCGCCAAATGTCAACATTGATACTTATCACTTCTGATAATTTAATTAAAATGTTAAGTGATACTTGAAATATCGAATAGTGTTATGCAATAAGAAATCGATTTTTTTTTTACATTACGTAATTATACTTTCAGAAGAATCAAATGACGATAGCTTGGATGTTACTCCAGAAGATTTAAGGGTCCTGGATGCTGCAGCCTATGGAATTAGGCTTGCTGCGTTCATCGTCGATGCTCCTTGCAATGAAATGAACGTTGATCATTTTGTACAGGTAACACGCGCTAAATAGACATTAAAATATTTTTTCAATCTACTTTTGATGATCCTAGGTTGGTTATCAAATTAAAAACTAAATGAATCATAGCAGTAAAGCTTCTCAGATAAATTATAATAAAATATGACCTCAAATGATAAAATTGTTGTTGTAGGAAGTAGAAAAGGTTGGAAATGAACTGAATATAAAACCAACCATAATTCGCGGCGAAGAATTGAGGGAAAAAGGGTTCGGAGGAATTTATGGGGTCGGAAAAGCCGCCACCTGTCCTCCAGCTTTGGCCGTGCTCAGCCACACCCCGCCTGGTGCTCGTAACACTGTCGCATGGGTTGGAAAAGGCATTGTTTACGATACTGGCGGTCTGAGCATTAAGGGAAAGACCTCTATGCCTGGTATGAAAAGGGACTGCGGAGGAGCTGCCGGTATTTTGGGTGCCTTCTATGCTGCGGTCAAATCGAATTTCTCGCAAAACTTACACGCTGTGTTTTGCCTTGCCGAGAACTCCGTTGGCCCGGATGCTACCAGGTAAATACAGAATTACAGGTAATGATGTAGCACCTTATTCTTACTATTGTTTTGCAGACCCGACGATATTCATACATTATACTCAGGTAGAACAGTGGAGATAAACAATACCGATGCCGAAGGACGATTGGTCCTATCGGACGGTGTTGTTTACGCCAAAAGAGACTTAAATGCCAATATTATTGTTGATATGGCTACACTCACCGGAGCTCAGGTAAAAACGAGCATTTCCTTTCAATTATTAAGGTATTTAATGTAACTTTGTAGGGTATTGCGACCGGAAAATATCATGCTGCCGTCTTGACCAACAACGGCGATTGGGAGGATACAACAATGACCGCTGGAAAATTATCCGGTGATCTTGTCTTTCCGGTTCCCTACTGCCCCGAATTGCACGTAACAGAATTTTCGTCAGCTATTGCTGATATGAAGAACTCTGTTGCCGACAGAGGCAACGCTCAGCCCAGCTGCGCTGGATTGTTCATAGCTTCTCATCTCGGTTTTGATTATCCCGGAGTTTGGCTTCATGTTGACATGGCCGCTCCTGCTTATTATGTTAGTATTTTCAACAGTTTACATATTCGTATGAGTACTAAATTAATTCTTTTAGGGAGAAAGAGCGACGGGATATGGAGTGGCTCTACTGACGACTCTTTTCGGAAGTTTCTGTGAGCTGCCGTTGCTTAAATCAATTGGTCCTAATTTGGATGACAGCATGACAGAGAATTGTGCAAAGAAAATCAAGATGAATTAATCATATTTTTATAAAATAAATATAATGGGACAAAGCTTTTAAATAAATCATTCGTGCATTTAGTCTGAAAATATTTTTTATATTTATTTAATTACTTTAAATAACATATGTTACACACAAGACCAAAGTTCGTGAACATGTCGATACGCAAAAATATGTTCTTATCTTATATAATCTTTGTAAAATCGGAATGCGGCTCTTATTGACTATTGACTTCATGCGTGCCCACCCCCGTATATAATACAATCGCGCTTAATTAACGTAAATGTTTGTTCACAAATTGCCATAAGCTAAGCGAAAGTGAAAAAAAATCACATCAATACATGTATTACTTTATTCACACCAACGTACTTGACCTTCATACATACGTACCATCACGGGTCTATATCGCAAGCCCGACAACCGAAAGACCGTCTATTGAAAGCTCGACGTTCGAAATCCCGACATTTGAAATCCTGACAATCAAAATCCCGACTATCGAAATCCCGACAGTGTCTTTTATTATTATAATTTGTACAATAACATTTTTAAATTATTGTACTATATTTTAATAGGTACGACGGATACTGAAAAAAATATTTTGAAGACCTAGGTCGATGGCTCTTTTACCCCATTATTAATTGTTGTTATTTATTCTTAATAACAATAAATAATATTAATTATTATTATATCTTTTTTTCGTTGACTTATTTATATAAAACTTAAGTATAACAAATATTCTATAATAAAATTAGTTTATGTTATTAACAATAAATAACAACAATTAATAATCTTAAGTTTAAGATTGTCGGGATTTCGATATAGTCGGGATTTTGATTGTCAGGATTTTGACATAGTCGGGATTTCGATACACTCGGGATTTTGAACGTCGGGCTTGCGATTGCCACCGACCATCACATATTGGGAATTCCCATGAATAAATTTCATGCGAGATAAGTTGCATACCTTTACATTTTTAGGCAACAAAAATTTTCAGAGATTTCTCAATCAATTCCCGTACTCAGTTTTCAAACTGACTGCATATTTTCGACATATTGATGTTATTTGTTCCCCCTAAAAATGTGGTTTAATAAAAAACACAAATAAATACATAAATTGAATCATCGACTCACATTGTGTACGTATGAAAGGAATGTCCGTATTATGAAGGAATAGCTTGATCGAAAATAAAATCAACTAAAGTGCCTTTTAAAATGATCATGACTAATCATAAGTAGCAATATTTGAATACTAGAAAAAGTCAAATGTATAGTTTCAATTTCTGGACTAATTGTATGATTATAATAAAGCTTTCCACTGTAGCTACAACACAAACTATTCTCATAATGCATAAAATATTGTTTTAAATATATCATCATATTAATTATGAGTCATGTCTATTTTTAGAATAAAATTATTGTAATTGGTGATGTTTACATTTTATTCATGCAATAGTAGATTAAACTTGTATTCATAGACTTTAGTAACTATTTAATCCCATTAGAGGAAAAGTAACTGCTATTTTTTTTGTAACATTTAACACAATCTGTATGACTGACCTGGCTATATATTATAACTTAAGCCAGTGGTCTCTGACTAAAGGACCGCGACTCTCATTTGGCCCCAGAAGCAATTTTAAACGGCCTATATGTAATGTTCCTATTGATTCAAAAATAAAAATGTTTCTTCTGTTTGGTATTAATAATATCGAATACTTTTGAAATCTAGACTTAAACTTATTTATTTCAAAAGAAGCATTTACAAATCAAATGAATGAAATACAACACAGTTAAAACATTAGTACAAATAAAGAAATCCTTAATTAAAATTTATATACCACAAAAAAAAAGAAATTAATCCCAGTTGATAAATCAAAATTGTAATGATTTACTTTATTATGGATTGGCCAGTGTGTTCACAGACTGGTAGTATTATTTAAATAATATACTTATATAAAAAAATATTTCCTCTAAAAGCTAGATAAAATTGTAATGAACTATTCATACTCATACTATTACTCAAAAGTGATACTTCTCAATATTTACAAACAAGCCATATTAGAGCATTAACATATTCATTTTCTTTTGCAACCTAGCCATTATTAATTCAAGTGCATCATTAAGAGTTTTGTTTTATCCAATTTGGTTTTAATTTATATTCTCTTCTTTTGTTTCTGCCCTGCCCATCAGATCCTTATGATGCCCAAGATTCTAGTTCCTTCAATTCATCATCAACATCCACTTTTTCTGCAAAGAAACAATATTGTAAAATAACAATAGTTAAACATGTTTAAGCAAATCCTTCTTACTAGCTGGTCTGGGTTTAACAACTTCTGCTTGTGGTACATCAGGCAATTCGTCTGTGGATGGCCCAACTTTGATTAATTCATCTTCAAGGGCTTCTTGCTCCAATTCCTCTAATTCCTTCTCCAATTCATCTTCATCTACATCTTGTCCGAATGCTACTGGATTGCTAATTGCATCAGAAATTTCCCTAGCAACATCTTGTTGTTCAGCAATATCATCCATCATATCATGCACTTGATCAACATCCCTGTTTAATATATTATAGACATTAATTTGTATATACTTATAAATTTTAGAATTAGAACATACATGTGTTTGTGGGCTTCTTTAAGAGCATCAGCAGCATTTTTCATGGTTGTCAAAACAGCAGTGTTTGTATTAGCACCCTCCAGGGCTTCTCTTTGCATCTCAATAGTACTGAGTGTTCCATCAATCTGTTGCAATTGCTTTTCATAACGTTTCTTCCTTTTAAGTGCCTGGATTGCAGCTGCAATATTTAATGTGCCAAGTGAACTTGATGAATAACTATGTGAATAATACTTATACCTCTTTTATTTTTGGCCGCATTTTTCTTAGCGTTAACTATTTCCAATTCGATCTTCTTCTCTAGAAAGTCTTGCTTCTTAATGAGCATATCCTCAGTTTCTCTCAATTTTTGGATGGCCTCTCCTGTGGTGGGGCCCTTCTCGGCGCTTTTGCCACCAAATATTTTCGTGAAAAAACTCATCCTCCACTAATTGAAAAACTGTTATTACCACAAACAGATTAATAATCTTTGTATGTAACAGAAATCAGAAATGACTAAACCAGGAATTTTATGGTGTTTTGACAGCAGCTGTCAGATAATGGCAATGTTGCCATGTAACATCCCATTGACGATATGAGTCATTACATATTAATATTATTTGAACTACTCTAATTGTAAAAGTTGTAGTTCTAATTCTGCTATAAATACAAATAAAAGTATAATGGCATTGGATAATATACGATAGAATACTAATAACATTAAATTTTATTGAGATGAAACAATCAATTTTTTAATAGATTATCATAATAATTCAACATGTCTTGCATATCCTTATAGTTTCCATATTTACAAGCTTCAATTAAATTTAACCATTTAAAGTCCTGATGTTCCTCTGATAATATAACTTTGGCTTCTGGATTTATTAATTCAGCTAACCAATAGATGACTGTCTTGGGTTTTCCATTCACATCATATTGAAGCACTTTTTTGGTATCTAAAAGTACCTTCAAATCGCTTTTAAGCAATCCAGATTCTTCCTCAGTTTCCCTATAGGCTGTCACCATTTCATCAGTTTCACCAGGATCAACATGACCTGAAATTTATAAATTTATATAAAACTTTTAAACATGAGTAATTCTAACCTTTTGGTGGTGTCCAATGATGTTGTCCATAAGACGTTTGCATCATTAAATATTGAATTTCATTTGAAATCCTTCTAAACACCACAAATCCTGCTGCTACCTTTCCCATGTTTTTTGCTATGTAAGAAAATACTTAATTTAATAATAATCAGTGGACTCTTACCATCGTTGCCAATATTGCAGTAGTTCAAATAAATTAAATCTTGGTATTGTTTAATATTACACTATTATTTTAATTCTAGACATCACATTTTGTTATTTACTTTTATAAGACTTATTATCATCTGCGGTATTTGCTTTAATTTGAAATAAAATAATATTTTTATTTGAAAGTCGCAAACAACGTATTTCCTATTTGAAAGTAGACTAGGAGGGGATAATCTGAATTTTGCGGTTTATCTCTCTTTTTATTTATCTACGCATCTGCTATAAATATAGCAAGGAATCAATCATATTTTTCATTAATATCAAAGTCAGCTTCTAAAGTTGTTACAATTGTTTTTGAAATGGCATCTCAAAAGGTCGCAATTGTAAGTAACATTTATTAATAATATCATCAACATGCATATAAATAACATATTATTTGACTTAACAGGTTACTGGAAGTAACAAGGGTATTGGCTATGCCATTGTCAAAGGGTTATGTGAGAAATATGAAGGGTTAGTTTATGTAACAGCAAGAAATGTTGAGAGGGGAGAGAAAGCAGTTAAATCTTTGAAAGATTTGGGCTTCAATCCATCTTTTCATCAATTAGATGTTAATGATCAAGATAGTGTGGATAAATTTAGAGATTACATTAAAACCACACATGGAGGAATTGATGTTCTAGTAAACAATGCTGCCATTGCATTTGATGTAAAGCTGATATTCTATATGTTAAAGAAATAGAAAAATTAATTTCAAATTTTAGAATGATGCCAAGGAGCCAGTTTCAGAGCAAGCTGAGAAAACACTCAGTACAAATTACTTCAGTTTAGTCAGAGTATGTGATGCCCTATTCCCACTGCTGAGAGAAAATGCACAGGTTGTGAATGTCTCAAGTTCTGCTGGTCATCTCTCAAGAATCCCATCAACTGATTTGAAGAAGAAATTCAGTGATCCATCTTTAACTGTGGAACAACTGGATGATTTAATGAAGCAATTTATTTCGTGCGTATTTTTGCATTTACGTTGGCGTTAATTTAGCAATCATGTTTTTTTTTGCTTGACTTTCAGTGATACGAAAAACGGATCTCATGGCGAGAAAGGATGGGGTAATTCTACGTATGTTGTATCGAAGGTCGGAGTGAGCGCGTTAACGCGTATCCAACAACGTATGTTCAATGCCGAATCTCCGCAGCGCAATGTATCTTGTAACAGCGTACATCCAGGATATGTTGATACAGACATGACAAATCACAAAGGTCTTTTGACCATTGAAGAGGGCGCTAAAGCTCCGCTCTTTCTCGCATTGGGTCAACATCAGTTGAAGGGCCAGTACATTTGGTTGAATACAGATGTTGTTGATTGGCTTGCACTAGATACACCAGCAAAATATTAATCTGCTAAGAAAGTGGAAAATTCTTTTGTTCACTAATTATGTTAATGTTATGAATATATGCACTTCTTTTATTCGACTTGTATGAATAAATATCGTAAATTAACTATTAATAATTATATTTCAACTAACCTCCTACAGATTAACAAGTAAACGTAAGTAAATGCGAATATAATTAATAAATAAATTAGATTAAACTTAAGCTGTTCTAAGTTTTTGAGGAATGCATTGTCACTTAGATAGCGTCTTCGGTTTTCACGTAGTTGTCCCTCAAGTTACTGAATTTGGTAATAAGATCATCAACTGATATTTCCCCGTGTACTACGTTGTCTCTGGTACGAACATTTACCGTTTTACTGGACCTCTCCTTCTCTCCGACAACTGAAACAACAATTTGAGTGAAAATTGTATTGAATACGCTGAAAGAAATGCTTACCTAAAATGAAGTTAAATTGAGCCAATTGCGCGTTTCTGATCTTCTTGTTCATAGTATCTCCAGCATCCGTATCAACTTCGCACATAAATCCAGCATCGAAGAGGATCTTTTTAACTTCTTGGGCATATTCATCGAAGTTTGGACCTACCGGAATAACCATAGCTTGTCTGGGAGACAACCAGAATGGCCATTTTCCGGCATAAGATTCTGTTAGAATGGCGATCATCCTTTCCACTGATCCAAGAATGGCCCTGTGAATGATGACGGGCCTCTTCTTTTCTCCGCTTTCACTAAATTTAAAAGAAGATGCATTAAAACAAATTGAAGACATATGCGAGAATATTAAATTACCTGACATAAGAGAGATTGAATCTTATTGGCAATTGGAAATCCAATTGGATGGTTGCACACTGGTGCGACCTCTTAAGAGCATCCATAATAGTAATATCGATTTTTGGACCGTAAAAGGCTCCATCCTCTGGATTCAGCTTCCAGGGTTCACCGAATTCAATCAAACTGTCCTCCAACGCCTATAATAAACATAGAATTGATAAATAAAGTATTAGATACAATGCTCATTAATCTTACTTTCTCGGCGGAATTCCAATCTTGCAGGTCACCCAAATACTTTTCCGGCCTTGTAGACAAGCACAGATTGAAAGTGAACCCGAAGATGCCGTAGACGTGCTTGAGGAAATCGAGAGCGCCTTTAATTTCCTGTCTGATTTGCTCGACAGCGCAGAAAATGTGAGCATCATCCTGTTGGAATCTGCGGACTCGTGTCAAACCGGTCAAAGCACCGGATAATTCATTCCTGTGAAGAACACCGAAATCCGCAAGTCGCAACGGCAATTCGCGCCACGATCTGATACGAGTATCGAAGATCAAACTGAAACACATAAAATACTAAAACCTCTGATCTTATTCCTTTAGTTTAAATTTACTAACCAATGACCAGGGCAATTCATGGGCTTCAACGCAAATTTATCTTTTTCAACGTCGAACGAAAACATGTTGTCCTGCATAAAGAATATTATCGGTCAAACTTTTGATATCTTTGAATAATAGGTCTTTTAAAAACTCACAGCATAATGCGCCCAATGGCCGGAAGTCTGCCATAGTTTTGCATTGTAAATGTTCGGTGAAACGACTTCTTGAAAACCGCGCTTCCTGTATTCCTTCTTGATGAATTCAATAAGGGTGTTGTAGATGTGAGCTCCACGTGGTTGGAAGAAGCAGGATCCAGGTGAAAGTTCGTGGAAGAAGAATAATTCTTGTTCCTAAAAATAAATTCAATAAAATCAATTCCAAATATAGATTACAGTATCAATTCCAAGAAAAAAAACACCTCAAGGTTATTGCAAATATTTGAATATAAAGATAATGAAATAAGTAAATAATAAATTATATAAGCATGATTTCTCTTAAAAACATACCCTTCCAAGTTTCCTATGGTCACGCTTAGCAGCTTCTTCTTGGAATTTCTCCCATTCCTTCAGTTGCTTACTATCTGGAAAACTTATTCCATAAACCCTCTGGAGAGTTTCAGCATCAGCCTTGCCTTCCCAGTAAGTGGATGAGCTCTAAATATAATTCATATAAAATAAATACTTTTAAACTTTCTATTTCTTGAGGACATTACCTTAGTAACTTTAAGAGCCTTGACTTTTCCTGTATGTCTTACATGGGGACCCCTGCACAGATCAATCAAAGGACCACACCTGTATACAGTTGTTGTTGGTGTGTTAACCTTTTCATTCAAGATCCTGACTTTGAAAGGATTGTATTTGAACATCTCCAGAAGATCTTCCTTTTTCATTTCAAGTCTCTCAAATGGTTGCTTCTCTTTCACAATTCCTTTAATCAACTGCTCAACCTGTGGGAAATCAGTGTTGGAAATCTGAAAATAGATATATTAGGAATATGTTCATCAAACTAAGCAGATTACAGCATACTCCCTTATCATCCAAAAACATGTCATAGTAAAATCCAGATTCAATGGGGGGTCCATAACATAAGCACCCACCATAGATCCTTTCCATGGCTTCACCCAAGATATGTGCAGATGAATGCCAGAAAACAGCCTGTGCTTCTGGATCATCAAACTTCAATAACTCAAGTTTACAGTCCCCTTCCAATGGTCTGTCCAAATCCCATAAAACATTGTTAACTTTTGATATAACTGCATTGTCAGCTAAACCTTGACTGAAATTATTATTAAATTATTAATAACATATATTAATTTAAAAGATTAAAATTACCTAATGCCTTTGGCCACATCATATGGAGTGGTTTTCCATGTAGTACCCTCAATTTCCTTTCCATCTGGTAAAGTAACTTTCAATGGATTTTGTGGTTTGTTTGCAAGTTCTTCAACATATTGGGATTTCAACTTATCCCAGATGGTTAACCTCTCCTCAATGTAAGAAGGCAAAGGTTTTAATTCAGCCACAGAAGATTTATCTCCAGCATTGGATTTCTTCTCCTTTTTCATCTTGGCAGCCTGCAATTAAGCAAGATCCAATTAGAATTTGTGTGTGTCACAGATAACTTTATATATTGATTTGACTGCAGATGTTTTAGTATGCATGTTTAATAAAGGTATAGGGTTGCATCAGAAAATGATTACAGGTGAATAAATATTGCATCATGTTTAAGGTGAATGGAGTTTTTTGTGCAGGTAAATTCTACGAACCAACGTCGCATAAGTTTGATGGATCGCAGGTAATTTTTTACTATTTGAACGTAAAACTCTCAACATTTTACTTGATATGTGTGCGTAAATTATAAAAAAGAAATATTCGAATCATGCCTTGTCCGCTTTGCCAAGCTCAATATTTTTCACTCCTTCAACCACGTTGTCACCCATATTTTCACTATGGAAACTCGTCGATGTTGGGAACACTTGGGGAAGCGCTCGAAAAGAACTAAAATCTGTGAGTCAACAGCGCCATAGCTGCATTGCTTTTAGTTCAAAATCGTAAATAGTTCTAAAGATTAATCTATTATTAGTTATTTCTTCATGGGATTTACCAAATATATACAATAATTCAATAATGTTCACAAAACAGCGTTTTAGCATTTATCAAAAATTATTATTTTTAATTTAATTTATTTGAACTAAAAACGTCTACGTCAAATGTATTTACATAACATTTTACGTGGTTTATCACTATTTTATGATAAAGTACTTGTCCATTTGCCACAGTAAATCAAAAGTAATAAAGATTATCTATTTGATATTCGAATACAACCATATAATAGCGAAATGCTAAACAAACACCATGCAAATAATCACAAATTCTTATTTTCATATTATGATTTAAAAGATATGTATCCCGTCTTTAAAATTTATAAAATTAAAACTCCATAAAGAAGATAATAAAATAAGTACATTTATTTATACCATAGTTCAGTAGTTCTCTAATAACTTGATATCATGAATAATATTTTTTTAACTTTAAATTGCAACACATCGAAAAGGTAGATGATTTCTCATAGTCTATAAAAGTAAAATATGCAATAACTATTACTTCTCTATTTTACACCTTATTCTTGAGTGTCTAATAGGTTTTCATTCACTTATTCATAAATAAATCATTCATTTTATTGCTGAGATTACACATTAGACAATTTGTTAAGAAATAACATATTCTAAATGTGTAATAACAGAGAATTTTCCTATTTATTATTTGACTTCTATATCCTTTTTATAGTCTTTTGTATTTCTTTGAAAATTTAGAACTGTATTCGATTGATGCAAAACATTTTAAAAACAAAGTAATAATTTATATGTTACACATTTTATAGACGTAATCCAATGATATAAACAAACATTTTTGTTTTTCTTATTTCCTGTTTTTAATTGTACCTAGTAAATTTCATGATGGGTATTTGCACCTATCGGCCGAAACCTTTAGAAAAAAATAAATTATACATGCATGTTTAATTCTATATTTTACTTTAAAATTAATTCCTTAATGGCCCGTCAATATAAAATTTACATTCCGTATATTAAATTATTTCCATAAAGTGAATGCTCTTTAAACATTGTTTCCTGTTCCTTTGTAGCAGGGAACTACATCGTCCGCTGTTACATAAGGGTTGTTAATAGTCCTATTGCCGAAGGAATAACCGCCGGAGCAGCTTTTCGGCATTTTCGGTAAATACGCAGCTGGTCCCGGGTTCATAGCACCCGCATGATCAGGGTGTCTGCCCATCATTGAAAACTTGGGTGGTTTCAGCCTGTAGATATCTACAGGAATACCTCCATACTGCGCTGGCCCTGGTCCAATATTTTTGGCCAAAGCACCATGGTTGCCGGAACTAAATTGCAAAAGTTTGTTACGTGCATCTATTGCAGAATATATGACTTACAGGCTGTACGCAGCCGCAGCTGGTTTGTGAGGAACTTTAGGCCCTAAGGTTGATGGTTGCGAATACTGATTGGGTGCCGGGGTGGCCGATCTGGAAAGGTCAGGAAACCTGGGTGCCATGGTATAAGCGGGATACGTTTTTCCAGGGTCTAAAGTGTATGTACCTGGTCCAGGCGTCGCAGGTCCGCTACCTAAAATAATTCAATGTATCCGCTCTTGTACATTTGAGAAACGCATACGTACTGACATCTTTCCTTCTAGATGACAAAGAATACGCCGGAGGAGTTGCTTTACCATACCTGGTCATATTGGCTATGTCGTATGAAGGCCCCGGTCCAATACCCTTTCCCCCAAGGCCGCTTTGCCTGCCCATGCTGTATTGAGGATTTCTGTACTTGGACGGATCATGTTTCTCGTATCCAACAGTTGGGGGCAACAGATACGCTCCAGGACCAGGCCCATCTTAAACAAAATATACAACTCCATTGGATTGTCAAACTTTTATACAAAATTCTCACTTACGTCTAGCCATTATATTTTTCCTTATATGTATATATTTTCTTTGAACATAAAATTTTCAATGCACACACGAATTTGGCAAAATGTTTAAATTATTGAAAAATAACGCAACATCAAAACACACACAAAAAAATGTTGAAACAAATGTTTTCTACGTTTTCTCCATACAAATAAAAAATAATAAAATAAAATAACGTCATCTAAGCAACGCCGACATGATGCAGATATTATTTATTAATAAAAAAAAAGTTATAACAAACTTTTGAATATAAGGAGGCAATATTAATATTAGCATTAATTATTTCCCGAAGCTAAGTAATAATCAAGTGCAAGTATTATTAAGTTCATTTCTTCTTGAGCTTCTCGTCAGTGTGCAACATTCCTCCTTTTCCAGTCCATTCCTCCTTCAGTTCGACACTGCATTCCAAATCTCTCAGTGCCGCTTTGATGTCGTACTCGCTCTTTTTGCACTTCTTCAAAGCCTTATGAAGTAATTGTTCAACACCTAACTCAATGAATTGCTTGTTCTGATGACGGCTTCTAGACACCATATTCCGGATGGCCCAACTGGCATTTTTCTGCACCTGCTCATTATCCGGATGCAATTCCATTATTGAAACAATCGTATTCGGAGCGCCGCACTTGAAAAGAGCTTCGCTGTTTTCAGGACATCTCAATGTTAGAGCGGATATACATCCTAAACCCAATATCGCGGTTTGCTGATTCACCTAAGAAATATCCAATTAATGCTTTATTCAAAACCAAATAGCATTAACTTACTTTATGTTTATTCAAAGCATTGATAATCAAGGGCGCAGCGCCGCTTTTAATAATTTTACTTTTAAGCTCATCATTTCCAGCCAATGCTTTCAGTACTTTCAAACATTGCTTACTCAATTTCTAAAAAAAAATATTTAATTATATTTATACTAATCTATATTTTCATGGAAATACTTACATCGCTATTAGAAAATTGCGATAAAGTGCTCAAAATGATTGGCAAACCGCCGGCATCATCAACTTTCTTACAATATTCTGTTCTGACCAAAAGTGATGATATGGTTAAAATTACGTCGTTCATTAAAGTTTCATCTGATTTGAATTCTACAAGAAAATTTGTTTAGTTTTATTATAAATTATTAAGTTTCTTATACGAAAATACTTTCAAGCAAAGCTGTGATAAAGCATAGAGTATCACTGGCAATAATTCTTGCATGATCGTGAGCTCTTCCAAATTCCACACGGATATCGTCATCCAAAACGAGAGATCTAAGCACGCCCAAACAATCGCAAAGCAGCGAAGCACTTGCCACTTGCATCAGTGGTTTCAAGTGGTCCAGAATTCCAGCATCCATTATATTTTGCCTAAAAATATTATTAGTATGGGAATACGTAAAAATTAACACTAGTAGAGTAGAACTCCAATATTCGTCCTGTTTTTTTGTTGAAATTTTTGTGTGATATTTGTCCGAAAAGTCATTTGTCCTACCTGGTCCAGCGAATCAGCGACCGTCTTCGTCTCGATCGAAGTGTGTTAATTCTTATAAGAAAAATTTTCCACTTAGGAAAGGATTAATGACGAATATTGGAGTTCCAATAGTTCGATTATAAAAAAAATGTACCTATTATTCTCATGTAAAATGCAACATTCCCGGGTCCATTTAAGGAGATGCTTTATTACATTCTCATCTGTCTGCTGGTCCAAAGTAGTTATAATCAATTGAATACCAGCAGCGTTCAAGAGATCAGGTTGCTTGGTCATCAAAGAAGTTAGAGTTATGAAACACTCAGTTAATACTTCTACATCACCTAGGTCCTTGCTCAATATATCCATTATAATGTTATAGGCCCCTTCCCTACCTGAAATTGACTGGTTCAATATGAACTACAAGGAGTTTGATAATATTACCTGCAATAACTTTGTATTGCAATCCAATGTCACATTGTGTTTTGATTATTTTAAGCTCTTCCACATACTCTTGTGGTGGTTGATTTTCTTTCACCAGTTTACTCAACCTCTTCAGAGCATCAGTAACTGTCTGCGAGTCCACACTGCTGGCCATTAGATCAATAATTACTTTACTTAAATCAGCACCCTACAAAGGTTGAAAAATATATTTTGTTTTTGTTTGGATTCAATTTTTCATAGATACTTTGATGAGCATGTAAACATTCAATTACATTTCAATTGTAATTGTCATCTCAATGCATATCTTATAATGAATCATAATTACCTGAGCCTGGAATTGCTTAACTGTATCTTCTATAGCCTCATCAACATCCATACCAAATTCATCCATATTTTCCTTTACTACACCATCAAACATCTCTTGAGTTACAGGATGCATTGTGGATCCTTTGTTGTTACTGAGTTAATGAACAATGAAAACCCCTTATTAGGTATGAAAGTATGTTATGGTTGGGTGGTTTTACGTGAAAATGGAGAAAGTGATCTGAAATGTCACTAGTTAAATGTATGCACTATAAAAGAAATATACAATAACTACCTTTAAAAAGCACAACAAATTTTTATTAAACGATCTTAACGAAATATATTTATGAATAATTTTAAAACTGCAGTTCTGACACATCAAATTGACATGTAACATATGAACTATTTTTGAAGAGTTTGTTCCTATTGGATCCAATTAGACCTACTTGGAGAAAAAGTTCAATGTTATTTATACCATTTGAAAAAATAAAATTAGAAGAAATTAGAAAAGAACTGTTTCGTGAGTTAGCATTTTTATTTTAATTTACAACTAAGTTTATTCCATGAAAGTTGATTGAAGAAAGTCAAGAAAATGTTTTTAACTATCCAATGTAAATCATATTAAAAACGCTAGAGTATTGAAATTTGCATGTATTTACATCACATTGTATGAATGGCAGCAATGCAAAAAAGAAGAAATACATATGGTAAAATGTCACATTGCCGGGGAAAATTTGTATGCTGAATGCTTGAATGTGTCATGTGCGTAATTTGAAAGTAGTGTTATTATTACTATTATTTTTTTTATTTTCATTTTTATGTTTTACTTTGCGTTCGTAGTAGTAAACAGCCGTACGACGAGATAATCTCGTTTTGTTTTATAAGTGCAGTACGTATTATAGTACACATTGCATACTGCGACGAAAGCTGTATTTTAAAACTTAACCTAGTTTGTTTGAATAAAAAAAAAAGAAGAATAACAATGTCTCAGTGGATTGGGTCTGCTGTTTCAATCAAATGTGCTGAATGCACTTATCAGGGAGAAATCATCAATGCTACAAATGCTAGCATTATTTTATCGAAGGCTTTCTGTGATGGTAAACCGTGCATATCAGATGTAACTGTACTGTAAGTGACATAAATCATAAATGAATATATTTCAAATATGTTAATTGTTTTTGAACACACCTAGGGCCAATGAAATTAATGATTTGAAAATCATTGAGAAGCAGCCCACAGAGAAGGTAGGGAATAGTACTGTTCCCTTGGCAAAGCCTGTGGCTAAGCGTGCTGGAAGGACACACAGCACATCAGAAAACTCATCAACTAGTAAAGCATTCAATGGGTCAGCAAAATCTAAACCTATAGATATACAGGGTGGACATGACAGGAATTACAATGAAGGAAGTAATTCTTATAAGAATTCATACAAGAGCCGTGACAAATCCAAGGGTAAGTGGGTCAAAGGTTGGAAGGATGAGGAGTGTTTTGGATCCCCTTTAGATACAAGTCTCTTGAAAGAATTTGACTTTGAGAAGAACCTGGCACTGTTCAACAAGCAGAAGGTGTTTGATGAGATCAACTCTCAGAGACCAGATATTAAAAATGCTGATCAGCAGAAGAGACCCACTAAATACAGGTATAACCTTTTTCATACTTTAATTTCTTTTTTTTTTGTTACTAATGAATAAAATAGGATAATAACTTCTAAATATAATTGGAATATATCAAATTTGTATGCTTGACATAGTTTTGATAACTTTATCTTAGTGAATTTATTAAATCTTGTAATATCTTATAAGTTTTATTAATGGATTAAATTATACAAATCATAGCAAATTTTTAAATTGATTGTAAATTGGCAAGTCTGCAACAAATTTCGTGAAGTTAAGAGCAATGAAAAATGTTGACTCAACTTATTTTTATCAGTTTAATTTCTAAACATATGTAGGAGCTGCAATTTTATACTACTTCCATACATAATTTTTAAGCCATATTTGAAAATATATTTTTTTAACTCATTATAAGAATGATTATATTAAATTATGACATAATTTCAGACATGATGAGAATATCATTGCCACAGTACCTACTGCATTTCGTCAAATAGTAGTTCAAGGAGAAGAGGAAGGTGGATACGAATATTTCACAGATGATGGATTAATTGTGCCATCGATTTCGTTGAATACGAGAAATCAGTTGTGGGACGTTGCCGATCGAATGGGTTTCGGATGGGAGAGAAGAACAGAGTTGATGGGTAGAGCGACAACCGAGATGGCAGTCCATTTGTTGGGTGGGGCTCATCGGTTGAATCCACATAACACCCACCAGTTCCCGGTTGTTGTAGTTATATGCGGCCCAAATAGGTAATACCTGATAAATGCTTACGATCATTTGATGTGCATGGGTTTTTGGTTTCAGGCAAGGGGCTATGGGCATTAACACCGCCAGACATTTGTCCAGTCAGGGTGTTAAGACTATTGTGTACACAGTTTCGCATGATTCGACGTACGTGAAGCAAGAGTTATCTCTATACAAGCTCACAAAAAATAAATATACGAGCAACATTGCAAGTCTTCCCATAAAAACAGACCTAATAATCGTCGCTTTATGCGATGAAGATATGATTGTCTATTCAGAACTAAGCGAGTGGATAACGAATAACAAGGCTCCAATTTTATCAATCGACCCTCCAGTCGCTGGTACTCCCGGTATATCATCAAAATTCTCAATAGTACCTGTGCTACCTCAGTCATATTCTCCAGAAAATGGAAAGATTTATTTGTGCAACTTAGGGTTTCCATTGGAGCTTTTTGCATTAGTTGGCATCAAGTACAAATCTCCTTTTGGACCAAAGTTCGTTATTCCGTTGCACTTGCAAACGTAATTCTGATTTTGAGATATGCTACATTTTTTTTTTCTCTTCTTTTTTTTTTACTTTTTACACATACTCGCCACACGATTTTTTTTATATAACTTATCTCTTTTTTTTTTAAGTTTAATTGATCTCGAAGTTCAATCATGTTCATTCATTATTTCACTAGTAAATATTTGGAGATATATTTTTATTTGTCCCTGACAAAATACAAACGTGTAAATTAACAATTTCGAAAAAGAAGAAATAAATTTGTGATATTTTGAAGTAACAAATTATCAATATTAAATTGTTTTTCTTATTTATTATTGAAATAAATATATTTATAGATATTTTGTAGAGCGGAGATAAGAGGGTATATAAGTGTATAGTTTTAATAATCAATTTTACGTCAGTTGGCCATAATATTTGTCTAGAAATATTGAATGTAACCGCCATTTAGACAATGAAACTAGCAAACCCTGATAAACTCAATTGTTATTATCTATTGTTTCTGTTTAGTAAAGTCATTACTACGTTTTTTTATATTTTTATCATTTTTGGAACTTCATTGAGTAACGTTAAAGTACAAATAAAGAATTATGTTAGCCATACATAATAAATTAATTATGTATTGTATTTTTGATACTGAGTACTTATCCTATAATATAGATCTGTTTTTAAATATCTAAGTTTTCAATCGATCCTCTTACGAATTAGATCAGAAATCATGTATTAAGATTGTGACGTTAAAATAAATGAAAACAGTTGATATTTGACTTTTTATTTTTGTTTTCAACGATATATTTGATTACAACAGTGGTGTGTACGCACATGGGAACGAGAACGAAAACAAAAATACCTTAAAGATTATTATCGAGTTGCTTCGAATAAATTGCATATATTGTTAAATTGTCTTATATATGTAAATAAATATGTTTTTTTTTTATTGAAAACTAAAATAAACACTTCCATAACAAAAAAACATGCGAAGTGTAAATTTCAATCTGTTCTGTTTTACTTTTTTTATTTCAAATGTTTATTATATAAGGAATGGGACTCGAAATATAACTATCAAAATTTAAAAATCCCGTAATAGCTGCTTTGACCTAACTCTAAACAAACAAAAAAATGATAAATCAAGCGAATTATCACTTACACAAATTTAATCTTATTCATTATTAAGGCAATTTTAGACTTTCTTTTTTTTTTAAATTTGTTATATACTTATATAAAAAGAGGAAATTGCTTTAATTTAAAAAATAGATACGAGATTTAAAGTGTTAATATTAGACCTTTTCCTTTCGATTCCAAATGAAGGCAATCTACATATTCGTCAGAATTAAAGATGTAAGAGATGACCGAAAACAGGGAAAATACTGTGAGCAATTATTTTGTTGTTTTTTTTTTCTTCTCATAATAATATGCATATTAAAATAAATGGATCGCCAATTATATACATAATATTATTAGTTTCTATTTACAAATACAATAAAAATGTTTCAAAGAGCACAGGTGCCAATGTTTAAGTTTTCTTTTAAAGCTCTTACATATATATAGTACAGTGAAAGAATAAAATACAATAAAATGTCTTGATTATAAAAGATTATATAGGTATATACAAAGTAGAGTAAAATAAAATGTAAATTTGTCACTAATAATTGATAAAATAGATTTGAATTTCTTGTTTGTTTTTCTCTTTCTCCCTCTTCGATTAAGTATATCCACCAAGTTTGCCAATTATTGGATAGCTTTAAACCTGAAAGCCATCCAGAAATAGTTAAACAATTGGCAAAAGCTTTATTATGATTTTAGGGATAATCTAGTTAAAGGCATATTATAATCTTAAAAATTACATTGGACAGAATTTCTCTTTAAAATTCACAGAGCGATAGTTTTCCTTTATAGCCATGTTTTTAATCGACACCAGCGAAACCTTGCGAACCTTCTATAGCTTTAATCAGTTTCTCTCGTAAATGTTGATAACTTTCGTAAGGTGGTAAATCCAAGCGATTAAAACTGTAAAAAGAGTAATTAAATAATAAATTTAGTTCTAATATACAAATGTGCTTACCATGTATGAGCTCTCGGGTAATTTTGCGGTGTTCCCCACTTTTCTATTGTAAATAACTGAGGGCCATTGCTTCCATACAACTCTTTAAATCCGTTCATCGGTACTCTGGATGTGCCTGTAACGAATTGCAAGAGTCTCGCTCTCATTTCATTGGAAAATGATAGTACAACGCGCCAGAACCACTGGACAACGATGTGGTTGGAATGATAATCTCCTTTGTATAATGTGTTTACTTTCCAGTCTTTGACGTCAATATTTTGTATGCCACACATTAGCAATTCCAATTCATTTTCATCGAATATCTTAACTATTGCCAACGGTACCAATTCACTGAAACCTTCCAAAAATGCGTTCATTTGATCCTGTACCCGTGAAACAAATCTCCACTTTATCACACATCTGAAAATCAACAAATCATTTACAAACATGATGTACATTGTAAATATTGTACTACTTACGAAATGTATTCATCTTTATTAGAATTATCTAAGGGTATATCGGCGCCACCCGGTTTCAATTCATGCAATGTCGTGTGTCCGAACGAATCTTCGTCAATTGAAAATGTCAAATCAAGACCGGATGGGTCATTTTCCTTGATCCAAAGAAGCGACTTGTAATACTCGCTGTCCACAGATTCCATGTCTTTCAAATCGATTGCTTTGCCTAACATCATTTTGTAGAATGGACGAATAAAGAAAGCTAAAAATAAAATACACCTATTAATCAGTCTGTAGTTTTTTTTTACTTATATAAATAATTAATGAGTAAAATTGATGTTACAACAACAAACGTGTTTTAAATATAACTATTCATTATTATTCATAATATGATGAATCATAGCTACCATCTAGAAGTTTTCCATGATATACAGCCATTCCGGCAATTCTCCCAATAAATTTAAAGTAATTTAGATGCTCTTCATTGCACATTCCCGAAGACGGATTGATTTGCAAAGTATAATTGTCCCTAAAAAATTGTATGAGTTATATTAGAAATCAAGATGTTTTATAAGCAAAACACGTACATAGCGGAATATTCAAATAGTCCATAATACGGATTAAACATTTCCTTTGAAAGTAAAAAGAACCATTCCCTTGCTAATCCACCATAATCCAGACCAACTTCTCCTTCGAATTCCACCCACAACTTGGTCTTAAGCAAATCGATTTTAGATTGAACCGAACTAATCACTCTGTACGAATCTTCCAAAATTGAAGATCTCTTCACTTTAATCTCAAACTTATTTGGTACGTTATTGGGTTTCCTGAGCTGCGACTTCATGTATTCATATTTCCGTTTGTAATCTCTGGAATAGGGGACCGCCGGTCCAGCAATATTTGGATTTGATAGTCGCGGATCTTCCCATTGAGTTGAACGTGTATCTAAAATTTAGAGATTAAATGCTTTTCAACTTTTCTTAGTTGCATTTGTTATTGTTTTATTACTGTGATCAATAAAGAAGATTCGCCCATCGCTGTGTACGCGTTCCTCCCAGCCCTCGGGCAAAGGCCCCAGGTCATCATCAGGTCTACGATTAGTGACTGGAGCTGCTGGTTGATTTGGCATGGGACTAGCACGTCCTGTCCTAGGATCCACCCACGATGTAGATCGTTCGTTGTGATTGATGAAGAACCAACGGCCGTTCGGAGCGAGCTGCATCGACCAACCTGGAGGAAGGCCTTCACTCAGAACTTGCAGATTGTTGGCTGCACCACTGCTGACATTACTATTAGTCGATATAGTAGAATCTCTGCGTGAAGTGTTATTGGAAGAGTCTGTGGTGTCTTCCGCCTGGAATGCAATTGAACATATGTAATTACCGATAAACAATGAATTATTTATAAGCAAAGTATTTAAACAACACAGAATAACTCATAACAACACTGTTTCAACTAAAACTAAGTAATCTATCCTGCAATACGAATTATATAACTAGCCCATATATGTGTAGATATCAAACAACGTAATGGATGTGACAAATACCAAATAAAAACAAAAGACATAGACACAAGCTGCATAGGTGGTACCGCGCACACAGATATGCTGAAGGAAAAGCACGCGTGAAAAGGCGAATTGTTAACGAGACGAACCTCATAATTGTCATCGTTTCGAGACACATGCGGTCCGAACACCTGTCTTAAGTCCCTAATTACAGAATGATGTTCGTAATCGGAATCGAACTCGTCGTGACTATTACTGTTTACGCTCTCCACGGACCCGTGATACTCGGAATCCGGCACCGAACGCTCCGACTGAAAGCTCAACCTGTCTCTGTTTGCATTACAATCCTCCACGTTAAGAAATTCCTCCGAGGGAGGCTCCGTCTCTTCCGATTCCGTCGGAGGATTTAATACTTCCTCCTGCAGATCATCCCGTTCCTGTTCAGTCTCCAAAGTACTATTTTCCCTCGATATCGTTCTAGGACTCGCGGCCTATTATTACATTTTGTTTATAAATGACTTTTCGCACATGCAGAAACAAGACATGCACTTAAATAGTTATGAAAATAAATAAAATAGTTAATCACACTTATTCTTATAGACGTATTTTAAGTACTGAAAAATATTTTTCGAACCACAAATAATTCCAAATATTTTCATACAATATGCAAGTATACAAAAGAATCATTTATTAGATAAATTAATTGCTTTCAAAATAATAATATTTATTGACAATTTACGTCTATTGATATTTTTATTATGTCTATGAATAATAATATTATTAACTCAATTATTGAAATATTCAAAGTGCAAACACTATTATGAATGGAAAAAATAAATCGTTCATAAAATATTGTAAAAATAGATATTTTTAAGTACTTAATGATATAGTAATATGAATGCATTCATGTATACAATTTCATTTACATAGTTTATCAATTTCCATACATACACATACAACCAATTAAACAAAGAACAGTTGATTAAATGATGTGTTATTTCTAAATACCATCTTATTACCTGACTCGTGTTATTCGATGAGTTTTCTTCGCGCTGATTCTCGTCATCGACGCTGATGTGAAAACGCCTATCGAACTGTACAGTCTGTTCTACCAACACTCTTTGCTCCTGCAGTTGATTATCAGCTGTGGTAGAACTGTTAAATTAAGAGCAAAACAACAAATAAATAACAGATATTGATGAATAATTCGTCAAAAATACCTCGAAGTTGGACGTTCCCAATGCGTAGTTCTGGCGACGTGATTCACGTAATACGTTCTACCATTAGCATCTTGTCTTTCTTCCCATCCCCTCGGCAAAGGAGACTGATTATCCGATGAATTGTTGGGCGAAAATTGCTAAAACAATTTCACAAATGTATCTTTTTGCATTAATTTAATTTAAAAAAAAACGCAATTATACTTGATTCACATCATCGCCATTGGTGTTGATCATTTCCCAATCATCTCTCTCCTCGATGGACTCGTCAGCTCCAGGTGGATCGATGCTAGGAGGCGGCAGCAGGGCATTATCTTTCAAATAAGCGTGATATATTTCCAAATATCCCCGAACTCTCGACCTGGCACTGTAACCACTACATAAGAGTACCACTTGGTACTTTAAGCATGCAACACTCAACCTTCTAAGTACTGGCTGCGAGTGTTAGTAATATCATAAAGAAAGTGGAGTTGAGTGTTAGTTTCGCATGGCTTAGATAAGAATGATTACAAATGCAATACTACAACGACAACAAAAAAACATAAAATGAACGATAGAAAATGAAAGCAGAATTGTATAAACAGGCTATAGAAACGTGAATGATTAATGTGGATAGATTAACGTTTAATAATTAATTCATGTGCCGCAAACAAAACAAAAATCGGTTTGTTTATCACATGAATTACATAAAAGTAAGTGCACAAAATCAATTGCCACAATGTCAACAATTTTCGTTTATATTTTGTTTTGTAAGTCGACATTTGCTTACTAGTCAGCACGTCAATAAACATGTGCACAATAAACATACGATACGAAAGTATGCTTAAACATTTAGTAAGTTCGTCGGTGTGGCGAATATCGCCCCAACCTTCTACATCACAATCATTTCATAATTCTATTGCATTAAATAGGATGTTCATTTATTTATGTAGAATGTTATTAATTAGAATCTGCACAAAAATTACATTAATAATAATTTATTGTATACATGCATACATATACACAATGGCCTATTGATTGCAGTATTTCCGCTCAATGATTATCAATATTAAACCAATGAATAATGTTTAGTTTAAACGATAATTCATATATGATAAAGGAATTACAAAAGAAAAATCAAACGGCTTTGATAACAACTTAATCTTATCTGAACGTGAAATTAAAATTCCAAGATTCAAATCAGATTACTGTGCTCTGTAAGATAGATTCCTTTCAATATTCTTGTTGGATAATGGATAATGGTGCAACTATATTGACCCCTAATCTTTCTTACCTGCGCGGTTTCAAAATGTATTTCACGGAGGGAATGGAACTGCCGTCCTGTTCCTCTGGTATATTCACTAATGTCAGTTCCACCATTCCCAGGAAGTCATCCCTCGTCAATCGGTTCTCGTCGAAAACTTGTAAAATCAACTTCTGTTCGGTTGGTTTCACCTGAATTGAAGAAAATAAACAATATTAGTAAATATTTCAATCTACGATGAGAAAATGTACACATATTATTATTGGCAGGTTATTAAATTATGTTTATAATAATAAAAAAATAATTTATTACATGCTTGAAAACATAAATACAATATCTTTCCTAAATATTTATTTAACACTAGTAGTACAATTTCGGTCTAAATATACATCAAAAATCACTCAGTTCGGCTCTGGTTTGTCGCCAATTAATATTAACTTTGTAACAAAAGTATTTCAGTTAATTTAATGAAACCGCGAAAACAATAATTAATTACGTATTAATATAATTATAGGGCAGTAAAACCTAAGGTCAATAGCCCCTTGTATCAGTTAACTTTTTTGAAATTATATATATATTTATTTTTCTCTTTTTATTTCTGTAGTTTTTTGTAGGACTGATGCAATAAACATTATTATAATTATAATATATACTTCAGCTGATAACTATAAAGCAGTTTTTATTAGATTGATTATTTTGCAATTGGGATTTAATTTATGGCATATATAAAAATATTTAAGCATGACTATAAACATGCAAATAAAATGAGCAGGACGTTCACCCCTATAAAAATATGTATAAAAGTGGAACATTACTTATACAATATCTACTTCAATAAAATCGATTATGTAAGGCAATTGAAGCACATTAAAAAATGCTATTGTTTTAAAATACAAAGTAACAATAAAAACGAGAATAACCCAAGGAGAGAATTGAAATCACTATTCCTAAAACAGGTGAAACATATGTACCTGGAAAACCAGTTTGAATCGGGAAACATATTAGTGCAAACGTAATAGGATAAACCATTAGATAGTGATGACAATACTTTTATCTTTAAGAATTTTTTAACATAATATAAAATAAATATTGAATACATCCGCTGTTAACTAATAATAGTATTCATTCATATCTCACAAACTTATTTGTTTACAAATGTTTTAAATTAATAAAACTAGTTTAGTTCAAAAAAATAAATTAATCTTTTGCTCATTTTAAGAAATTGAAAAAAGTCTTTGGAACTCATTTGTAAAAAAAAATCCTTAAGATACATGAATAAAACTTCAGATAAATTCTATGGGTTATATCAGAGTTTCCCAAACTTTTTCGGTTTGTGGCGCCTTTAATATATCAGAATTTACCGCGGTGCCCCAAGTCAAAACATTGGTCTAATCTAATGTGAACTTTATTTATGTTAATATAACAAAATTTTCGCCAAGGAAATTTAGTTTTAATGTTTTGACGATGTAAAATAGTATTTTTAAAAAACAATTTGGAAACATATGCAAATAAAAATCAATTTCTGAAACCAATCCAATAAGAATTATCAATACAACATTACAATTTCTGAATTGAGGTCATTGCTAGTATATTAAGCAACACTGTCCCACCTTAATTAATTTGATTTAATGTTCCTTTTTTTTCTGAATTACAAGTATTAATGTATTTTTAATAACAGCATTAACAATGACAGATTATTGTGCTCATCTATTCATAAAAAAAAATATTTTTTGATTTTCATATTCTGAATGCTTTTGTTATGGTTGAATAAATTTACATCATTCAATCAAAAATATTCAATGAAAGTAGTCAATTTGTGAGTATGTAGATTAAAATTTTACATTTACAGGACACAGCTGATATGTACTTACTCCGATAATATATTCCTCATTCCAATTGGGATTCAATGTTCTCTTCTTGGTTTTTGTGAGGACTGAATAAATTGTTTCATCTCCGTTGATAATATTCAAGTCAATTTTCACATAAGGATCACTGAAATGTGGATGTAAGTAAGGTCATTAGAAAATTTTGAAAGGGAAAAAGTTATGAAGGGAAAGAAAGTACCTAGCTCCAAATATATCCTTCTTGGCCAGCTGATGTCCCCGGACAACCCTCAGACGTAGCTTACTGGTGGGATTTTCAGTCTGGAACAGAATTGCACAATAAGATGATGGGCATGTCAACTACTATCAGTTTGAGGTTTTGTTTATATAAACCATAAAATCAGTTCGTTTGTGGCTGCTGTATGGCAGGTGCCAAAAGACCATGTTAATTTCTGTGACATTGAAAATGAAAACACTCACAAGTTGATCAAAGGTGATTGGGGGGCTGAAACCATTTAACATATAGTTATCCATGAAAATTGGTGATTTGTTGCATTAAACGAACGATTTTCTATATCACAGCCGGGGAGGATTTTCAATTTTCCACGACGTACGAGCACTCGTGTAAAAAATAAATATAAATTATATATATATATATATGGTCTGTATATATATGTATATATATATATACATCTAGACAAACAACTTCTCGTTCACTTCTCACTCACTGACATCAAACGTCAAAACTTTATGTCTCCCTCTCATTCGTAACCGATCTCTCCGTCTCCCTCTTGCGGAACTACCTCTTTCTCATTCCTCCACTTTTCTTCACGACCGCAACTAATTCACTTACGGAAATGTCAAATATTCAGAAAATTGAATTTGAAAATCCCGGATAATTCCCTAATCCAATCAAAACAAGGAAAAAACAAATAAAAAATAAGTGAAACGCAGGCAAAGTGCAGCATGCAACACCTCTTGCAATAGGAGTCACCGGCATTCTAAAAATACATTTATTCCGATAATAAATGTATCACATTTCCAATAAAAACAATCATAATGCCGTATAATTAGCTCATTCATTTACAACAATAACATCATTACTTAATAATTCATAAATTACTGTAATGAAATGTAATGCCCTGACGAAGATTATCATAATATATTTCACATTATATTCAGCTTAAAAGCCAACAATTTCCAATAAATAAACGCTACAATCATAGGCAACCAAATATACCATTAACATATTTATATAACAATGATCACATGAGCTCTCAAGTGCTATGTATCATGTGCTATTCATTGTTTTGAATAAAACGCAAATTAAATCATTGAATAAGCTTCGCTTGAAAACTTATACCTATAAATTATTTTTTATGTAAGATTAAACTACAAATTACAAAAAGATCTACTAATAATAAATTTCTATATAGTATATCACGCAAATGGAAGGTAGTAGTCATACCATAAGCTTATAAATCTACTTGACAACGAATGAAATAATTCGTTAGATTTCATATTTAATTAAATAATGAATTTTTAATAAAGAGAAATTGGGATGAATTTTTCTTATAAAATTATCAACCTCGAAATAATTTATTAATATAATATGTTAATTTAACAATGATGTATACTTTTTGATACAGATAATAATTTTTGACCTCGGTAAAATAGAATTACTTTACAAAGAAAAGTTTATTTTGTTGTTGTTTTATTTTATGTAAATATTTTTAATGACGATTTCAATGTCAAGTTACAAAAAATAGAAATTTGGTGAAGTCAAAAAAAAAGAATTATTTTAGGTTCCATTGTATATCATATTAATATGATACAATGGTTTACAAGGATTCAAAAGAAGTTATGATTACAGTTAAGAAATTTTATTAGGTTTTACAATAAGATTTGCATTGAAAAATAAATACTAAATAAGGAAATTGCATTAACTAACTAGAATACATGTATCCCCCGACTTACGAACTTCCGGATTTACGAACAAAATTCTAAAAGCTCTAACTGTCCAAACAAAAATTGATAATTTCTTTAATAAAACATCATATTTCATTGCATTTGATTCTTTTGTCGTTTTTTTTATTAAATAATTGTGATGTCTACATTTGTGGTAAGATAAGTATATTTTGAAAATTTTAAAATTTCCCCGACTTACGAACAACCCTTTTGGAACGGAACTAGTTCGTAAGTCAGGGCATACCTATACTGCTAAATGCGAGAAATTATTTTTAACATTTTTTGGTAAAAAATAAAAAAAATCATTAGAAACCGTGACATTTTTGAAAATTATGGTAGTAGAATCTTTTTTTATTATTATTTATAAGTCCATATTCGGTGCTTATCTAACCATATTTTTTTAATTAAATCTCTAAAAAACGGACGTATACAATTATCAAATTAACTCACGAAGTACGATTTGAACAGTACACACATTTTTGGCAACTTTCCCCTATATCGTTACGTGCAGACAATTTAATGAATTACAAATAAATAATTAACATTCAAAATCGTTTAGAAAATTGTTCAATTTGATACAATATTTGATCAATTGCAAAAAATACAACTAACTTCTTGTAATTTAGAAATTAACTAGATTCTAATACACTTTGAGTTTGACATATTTACAATATAACTTATTTTGTTACTTTGTTGAATTTGCAAAAAATAGTCCTTTCGCCAAAAGAATCAGTAAATTATAATTAATTATTTACTATTAATAATTTAATGTATTCTTAACAAATTAATGTTTGGGTGGTTACTGTATTTTCTGTCCTAGTTAGCTTTACCTGTAACTATTACAATGTCTTTCACATTCCTAATGGGTGTGAAAGTATTTAATTTAGCATATTTTGAAGGAGTGGTGGAAATTGTACGCAAACTGACAATTTCAAAATCGCACCTAATTTTTAGTAGAAGCCATTGTGTGCATGCGATTAAAACGCCTTTTCCACTCTCAACTTTTAGGTCTTCACTTACATATTTATAATCTGTAAACATTTTTAGACTCAAGTAAGTTTATGTAAACTAGCCTAATAATATAGTAATAATAAATAATATATAAAAAAAATATTAAAAAAAAAATTAAATTATAATATTGCATTATTTCGATAGAATTTAGTCAAAGGCAGCGAAAAGACATAGACAGTTTAAATTATGACAATTCTTATGACGTTACACGTACAAAAACAATTTTGAAATTTTTAATTACAAAGCAACCAATTAAAATACTAGAATTAAAATAGTTATATTAATGACTAACGTCCTTCTACTTTGTTTATCAAGTTTCGCAATCTACGTTTAATAATGAGATATTATTCTATACTTATAGTACGCTTCGCAGTTGTTTATGATACACATAAACATGTTTATTTGTATCATGATTGTTGTCCATTGGTTAGCATGTGTGGTTGCATACAATTCGATAATAAAATGGCCGATCTGTTTACAAACAGCGGTTGCTACGGCCATTTTATGTTTTCAATAAAAAAAATAAATATTGCTAAATCGAAACTTTTGCGATGTACATAAACAATTATGGAAAACAAATATGAACGTAACCGCGTATTCTCGCAAACCGTTTAATTGGTAAATGGATTCGCGAAAAACAATGTATTTTTGTTTGTTTGTCTGTTTTCCTTTTTGTGTGTTTTTTTTTGTTAACAATGAAACTGTTAGTTATTTGTATGGGAATATCCAAGCATCAAGGATGACTCCTAAAATACACGGCAGAGGAAACAATGAATAATTGCTCGTTCGTGGAAAATCATTAATTATTCAAAATGCCTACAGTTATAATAATTGCAGCGATCATTCCTGTTCTCGTGATGTCTGTGAAACATTAGCGAAGAGACGCACATGTATGCAAATTCTTTTAAATATTTACCCGATTCTAATCAGCGTTTACTGCAGTTTGTTGTTGTAATTTTCTTGGAGTAATACGAGACTTATATAAGCAGCAATAATTAAAATATACTATTTCAAAGAAACAATCTACGCTTTATTGGATATCTGTAACTATTTTTATTTTAACCTTCTCTATGTTAATGATTTTTGTCACGTACGATTTTTGCATTTTTATGCTGTATTTCTGTATATGCATATTATACGTTTATTTAATTAAAATAACTAAAAAATAAACTTTTGTATTAACATGGTCTTACACACATACAAAAGGCTAATAACCGCAGTCTTTCCGCCCTAATATAAATGATTTATTAACAAAGACGTTTCTACATTTTTAAAGTTTAATTAATTAAATTCTGTTGAAAATTTATTTTTTCATTATGATCTGCAACAGTGTTTCTCTATAGTTGACAACTGTCGTGACCCCATGTAATGAAAAACACTGGTCTACAAAAATACGGATCAATCAAAATGTGAAAAATTAAGACTTCTTCAGGGTATTTTTAAATAAATCTTGTCGCAATTAAAATCAATTCATCTGTTACGCACTCGTTACTTCTTGGATTTGAAAAAGTATCCGGACGATATGTGTTTCTGTTATTTTTACTTTTTTTTATTGTGTACGCGCATCGCTCAAAAAATTCTTTGTTACACTTGCGCTAAACTAAATCAATACTATATATTCTACGCTTTTTTTTCTAAACAATGAATGACGCCATGTGATTTGAGGTCATCTCTATTATCAATGTTTCGAAATATGGATCGATACGTTTCGTAGATGTGCTGACCTGATGACCTGTCAATGATGACAGCTTCCTATGCAACTAGTGTGATGTGCATTCGATCAGGAAATTGTCCTGAGTTTCAAGCGTGCCGAAATCATAACTTTTATTCAAATATTATCATATATTGATTAGTATAAATATTGACTGTAATGAATTTACGTAAATGTGTCGAATGTGGGTAGTGTCATTAGAATGAACGAGGAAAGTAAAAGTAGATAGATTGATATAAATAGAATTCAGGGCATGGAATTCGTTGGAAGCAAATGGAAAATGAATGCATCGGTCATGGTCTTGTGGTCGCACCGGAATCGTTAGATGGTGAGTCTTGAGGATGACATGGTTTTGGTAATTGCATTGCAGATGTTAATTACCGAGTCAATGTGGTATAAGGACCTGCGGGGGAACGGGGACACTTCTATGATCCTGTCGTTATTGGACCACGTATTCCTTCGCCTGTAAACAGGTGGGCACACCTCAGTCCTTGCTGCGAATTCACTTATTCTGCGAGACATTTGAGGCACTTTACAGATGCACAACAAACAAGTGGCATCACACACCAACACACAGCACAAGTACTCCAATCATAAGCACACACACTGCTGACAGTCACACTCATACGCACACAGACACATGGAACTTAATTAAGACCCCGTCGTTATCTTCGACCGAGAGAGATTATAATGTAAATAAATTATAATTCCGTCGCCTACTGAACATACACACACACAGTGTATATTTTCTGTTTTCATTCCCGTCCGAACGCCGACTCGCCACTTTTCTTCGAAGCGCGGCTTTCCATTGTCCTTCCTCCAATCAAGCAAATTGCTCCTAGCTCACATCAATTATGAATTGCTATCGAACAGAACAACATTTCGTAGCGCGCACTGGTGACAGTGTCCTAATCTTCGCATCCAAACATCTAAATTTACCCGATGTGAATACCCTCCTACACACCGGACACTGACGCACTTGCTTGATAACTTTTTTTTCATTAACTTTGACTGTTTCAACATTCACCACTCAACAGCTCTAAATAATACGTATTTTAAATCGTTTACACTTGCAATACCACACTGCTACCACTTACTTACATAAATAACTCGTTGAACAACAAACTCGAATCGTTAAAGCAATTCCAATACTCCCGGTATACACGTCAGCATCAGATACAAACACGTTCGCAAAGGTACACATAATAGCTCAATACAAATCATATACAGAAATGGATACCTCTGCTCTATAAAATGTAACACTACATTGTCGTGTCCGACCAATTTATTGTCATCTATTGTATAACTAATAAGTATATTTGTTAGGGCCATATCTTTCGTCTTAATTATAACAAATCATATTTAATGTATCCATCAAATATACAAACGGATACTTGTACGTGATTACTTAGAATGACTTGTGGAATATTCCGAAAAACGGTTTCACATTAAAGCGTCATTTTATCAATGGTCATTTAAAATAACTTGTGGAATATTCCGAACGGACGGTTACACATTAAATCGTATAGTTGCGTCTACTTGCATCCCACTAACAGCCTTCTTCAGCCCCTAAATATTTGGGCAGGATCATAAAACTTAGATAAAGAAACGCTTGTGTTTTACAAGGTCAAACTTAAATGAACACATTTTTGTATTATATAATTTAGTCTTAGTCAGGGGAGCGAAGAGAGAAGATAGTCTTAGCTAAGGGGTCGAACTGAGAAGAAGTCCTACTTGGGAGAGTCCAAGGAAGAGCACTTACTTCATAAATACTAACTTTATTATTGTTAAATACTAACTTAAGAGGAGAATGTAACTCTTAGTTAATAATCCATGAGATCAACTATTGTATAGTTGACTTCTCAATAAAAACTCCGATGTTACTAATAAATTAATTAAGAATATTGCATTTAATATTCATAAACCCCTCTAAGACTCCGCAACGACATAACTACGAGTGTATAATAAACATAATTAAGAATATTCATAAACTGGAGTCTTAGACATAACTACAAGATAAAACTAAATTAAGAATATTGCATTTAATATTCAGTAAACCCTCCAAGACTCCGCAACGACATAACTACGAGATAATCCACGGTGTCCAAGGATTTCTTAACCCTGGGACACGACAACATGTTACAATAAACTGTAAACTAAAAAAACTATCTGACAATAAGACGCACCTTAATTGTAAGTTGTTTTCATTACGTAAAAGTTTGTCTTAAACAAAGTCCTTTGAGCCCTGAAAATCATTTGATAACATTTGGAAGCATCCAAATCCACATACATTAATATAAATTTGCAGTGTATTCCACAATAAATTTGTCGTTCGACCTTAACTCCTCTATATCCGACATAAATTCATAAGTTTCTATGCACATTTACTTGCACCATTTATTAAATAGTCACTTGAACTTCGGTTTAACTTTATGCCCAAGTTAAGTCAGGAATAGCCACCAGTTAAATGCTACCAACATAATGAGAGCCGTATAAGATGCATATTAAGTTTAGATCAGTGTTTCTCAACCTTTTTTCGGTAAAACTCAACATATTTGTTTTTACACAAAGTGAAAGCTGTCATTACGCAGCTCATTAGACATTTCACGCAACTCATAGGTTGAGAAACGTTGGTTTAGTTTAAAATATATTTTGTTTGTAAATGATAGTTACATAGGGCTTACTAAAGTTGTTGAAAATTAAGTTTAAATATTCTTAAATATGTTTATAAATTAAAATACTGTTTTTATTAAGAAATCAACACTTTTCTTGAGTTAATAATTAGGAAATATGAGCTTCCTTCATCACACCAATTAAGACTTCTATTGTATTAACTAAATGTTCAATTTTATATTCAAGAATTGACCCAGAGGGGATATAATATTTGGTAAGTGAAAAATAATTGTATCTCGAATCATTATATGTCTGATTATAGATTTGATTTTTATAAACTTTCATATTTGTATAAAACAATAATCATTACATAGATTAAGAATAGTCGTTAGATAATCGTGTAATCTATCCAAAGCGGAAATGTACTGACTAAGTACATAACAAATACAAATAATAAGGGTTTTATTTCATATAACGATATAAACAATATTGGTTAATAATGATTCGCCAAAACAATAGAAACAGGTGAGTCCAAAAATAACTTAATTTTTGGCCCCAGAGACCTCATTAAGTCGCATTCTACAGTAGAAACATTACTGTATTCTTTTTATAGAAGGCCCTGTTATAGTTTATTTTGTTTTCAAAAGGCGAATTTTGCAGATATAACGCCATATTTGTTTAATCGTTACTCTTCCTGCCGTTGCGCAGGTTACTAAAATAATAGCATATTTGTATCCTGGAAATTACGCATGCGCACACAACTTTTTTTGGGACTACCAGGGACTACATTCGATCCAAATACAAACATAACTACCTCTGCTGATAAAGATTTGTTCTTATTCTTGACGACTTCCATAATAAAGTAAGTGAAGTTTTTATTTAGTTTGGTAAATTTATTTATTTACCTATACATTATTTTTATGTAATAACTACAGCAAATTATAAAAAGTAAAAAATATAACAGGTAGGGTTAGGATTGGCTAAAAACGGGAAAATCTATTTTTTATTTATATTATAATTATTATTTTATAAAATCGGACTCATATCATGACACAAATATACAAGGTACAGTCGAGCGCATATTGACGGTCACCATGTCCGTAAATAAGAGAAGTGATAGTAAACAAATCTTGAGGTTAAGAAAATAAAATATTATGATATGTACTATCCGGAACAGATGCTTATCTTTGTTAATAATTCAATAAGTCATGAAATGATATAATTCATATTTTTTTTTTCTTCCGCCTGCTACCTCCCTCTAGGAGGGTATAATTCATAATATTAGTCGTTATGTGATATTTGTCTTTGCATATTGTTACTTAATGTTTGTCAATCTGACACTAAGGTCACCAATAACCTTATGCGCGAGAGATGACGAAAATTTAACGGCTGTCGAGTATATATTGTATCATGGGTTGCTAGAAATGTAATTGTACCAAGTGTTATGTGCCTTCGTTTGGGAAACGCTGGTCTATTTTATGATTAATTACAAAACTTGAGTGAAGTAATTAACCATTAATATCAATTGAAATATTAAATTAATATGATTTTTTTTAACAAATAAATTAATTGCAAGTATATTTTTATTTTAATTTCCAATTATTATTTTGTGTTGTTTTTGTTATTGTTTTGAAATTAAAAAAAAATCTTCACCAATTTAAATAACATTTATAATCTAAATAATTCTGCGATAAGGATTGAGTAAGAATTTGAGATTTTTAAATTATCCGCCAGAAGTGTGTTTTACTGTTAGTACAAGCACGTGAGCGATAATCAGTAAGTACAAAATGACTGTATGCACTTAGTACGACGATTTGCGAGCTGCATAATCATTTAAATGTATTTAATATATTGAAATTTCAGCGCATAGGACGATCGACGCAAATATATAAAGTTTAATAGGGAAGAACTTTGAAAACTCTATTATTATAACCTCCATATAATCGAAATCGGATATCTTCGAGAAGCATGGATAAACTGAACGTAAAAGATGTTATGCAGTACATAGAGTTAGTTACTAATCTTAAACATAGTTCTCGCAAAGGTTGGGAATATTGCGATGTGCCCAATCACGAGCGCATCGCTGGCCACATGTACGCCATGGCGATGATGACCTTCCTTCTGGACGAGAAGAGCGGTTTGGATAGATTCAAATGTATGCAATTAACTTTGGTGCACGATTTATGCGAGAGCATTGTCGGAGACATTACGCCCAGGGATAACATACCGGAGGACGTCAAGCACAAGATGGAGTTGGAAGCAATGGAAAAACTAACATCGTTGCTAGGCGACGAGCTTGGTGGTCGTATGTTCGCTCTGTACCAGGAATACGAAAAGAAAGAGACGCCCGAGGCGAAGTTCGTCAAAGACTTGGATAGATTCGACATGATTTTCACAGCAATGACATACGAAAAACGCGACAATACTCCGAAGAAACTGCAAGAGTTCTTTGATTCAACTGAAGGCAAATTTCAGCATCCTTTTGTTAAAAAATTGGTTGCCGAACTTGAAAATATGAGGCCTCGGCAGTCCGATTCTTCGAATGACGATTAATGTCACTATTAATAATTTATTAATAAACGTATTTAATTCGAAAACAATGATTTTTACTGTATTTACCTTTAAATGCAATCAGAAAGTAAATAAACGATTAGGTTATCAAAAAGTTTGGAGATTCGCCAGTAGTCGATTACTGCCATGGAGGAGAGAACCATTCTGGTGACGGGCTTTGGTCTGTTCAACACTTACAAAGTTAACGCGAGTTGGGAAGCTGTAAAATTATTGAACGACCGCAAATTCCCCGGTTACAAGCTTATAACAGTCGAAGTCCCGGTGACCTACAAATATATAGAAGAGAACATTGATCTGCTATGGAGTAAATACAAACCTAGTGTAAATAAAATCAGCAGCAATTTAAAATCTCTATGATTACTAGGCCGCAATTTGATTTATAGCTTGTCATACACGTAGGAGTTTGCCACAGAAGATGGATCACCTTGGAACATTGCGCTAATCGTTTAGGTTATGTGAAAACTGATAGTGAGGATTGTTGTCACCCGACGCAGAAGGTGTGCGAAATTGGAGAAGATTGCATCCGAACAGGTATAAATATTGAAGCAATATGCGCATCACTTGAAAAACATGATATTAAAATCGGTGTATCAAAGGATGCAGGAAGGTAAACAACTAAAACACGCACCAGATCATATTTTTAATTGATAATTTATCTCTATTTAGATACCTGTGCGAGTACATCTACTACAAGTCACTGAATATCGATTCTTCCAAGACGTTATTTGTTCATGTTCCTTCATTGAACGAACCCTATACTGCTGAACAGCTATCAGAATCCCTCCATAAAATAATCATGGAAGCCCTGAAACAAGTAAATTCTTAAAAAAACGATATGCACTACTAGTATCAAATATTATTGAATGTAATTTAATATACGAGTTTCGTGAATTGTGGTGTAGGGTAAATGATATATTGTAGCACATACCAAATAAATATACCAATTGTATGGTATAAGCCTTAAAATTACTGTGAATGATTTATTAAGCTTTCCCAAATAAAAACGAAATTTAATCTAATTTTACCAGTTAATCAAAAAATATGTTTAAACTTATATTGTTGGCAAATTTCGTAGTTATTAACTGCAGTATACCAAACGATACAATTAATTTGGTGCACGTTTTAATTAATTTTATCTTAAAACAAGTTGACAAACCTTCGTTGAACGCTTATATTTGTTGGTCCAAAAGTAGTCCCCTTTTATATTATATAAATATTATCAAATTTAATTAAATTGTATATTCTAGATGAAACATCTTATTTTTCGAAAGAGCTTGGTCGGAATGGAATATTCTCTTCGATTTATAACATTGAATACGCGAAATTGGTGCACATCTGGCCGTTACATATGCAGATGTTCTTTGTAGATACAAAATGCGAATTTGCAAGTAATTTCCTTGATAGAGTAAATAAAACAAATGGATTTAGGTTTCCAACTCGATGGGTATTAACCTATAAGGAATTCATCGTACAACGTCTTTATCCTTTTTACTTAAATACGAGAATTTTTGTGGTACATTCGTTTGGTAACTACGCATATATTGAGACTATTTACAAAATAGCTTACCATTTTCCTTACGTAACACAAGATTTGGCCACGTGGAATCAATCTCGTTTTGAGTATTTTAACAATCTTTCGTTTTTTAACAATCGCAGTGATTTGCAGGGGGCTGTAGTTACGGTTGCTGCCGTTCCCGTTTTTAACAAGAGTATCAATGAAATATTTGAATTCAGGTACGTTTCTTTAAAAAAAAAATGCGATATTCAGATTATAAATATCACATATGTTAATTCAGGGAGACTGGGCTTGATCCGTCTTTCAAATTTATCATGCCTTTAAGTCTTTATGTTGTCGAATACCTGAACGCGACATTAAGAGAATTATATTATTCAGTGCATGGAACCAGTCCCAATAAAGTCACGCACATGTTTGCTGGAATGATGGGAGCGTTCCAGATTGGAATAGCGGATTTAGGAGGTAAACATATTATAGTTTTTTTTTATCTAAAGTCTCAATAATGCAATTATTCTAAAAGGTTCTCCTCTGTTTACTTCATACAGTCGTAGAGAAGTAGTGGATTTTGTGAGCTTTTCTCAGACGCAAATCAAATTCATGTTCATGGCTCCCCCGATATCCGTAGTTAGTAATGTCTACGCAGTTCCATTCGAAATGACAGTTTGGATTGCAACAGCTTTCCTATTTCTTTTGATGGTGCTCATATTTGGAATCATCTTGAAAATGGAATATCTAATAGAAGACATGCCTAAACAGGACCCTACCAGGACCTTCGAAGCTTTAGATGCTTTCCAATTAGGTCTTGGATCTGTATGCCAACAAGGATTGGAAGTCGAACCACAAAGTTTGTCAGGTCGCATCGCCTCGTTCATTTCTCTGTTATCATTACTTTTCTTGTACATCGCATATTCATCAAACATAATAACTATTTTACAAAAAACGTCAAACATTATCAAATCAACTGATGATTTTTTAAATTCCCCAATCCAATTGGGCGCACACGATGTAAACTACAACAATCATTACATGAAGGTAGGTAGAAGCAAATTTAATAATCCATTAGACGATTACCAAAAACTCTGACTTTAAGATACAAAGTAGAGAAATCAGCAAAGCTGTTTATTACACAAAACTCGAACCTCCTGGAAAACCACGTAACTTTATGGAATTCAAGGTTGGAATGAAAAGGTTGCGCAATGAATTTTTCGCGTTCCACGCTGAAATAGCCCGGATGTTCCAATACGCAAGCATTAATTTTAAGGATAACGAGAAATGTAGATTGAGAGTATTGAACTTTTGGTTTCTGGACATTCCCTATGTACCACTAAATAAATATTCGTCTTACAAAGAACTATTTAAAATATTGTAAGGTGGTTTTAACTTCTGTCAATACCTATTTATTGACTTTCTAATTTTAGGCATACCAATATATTGGTGAGGGGTGTTCACAATAGAGGAATTAGAAGGATTTATACCAAGAAACCCATATGCGAATCGCAAAGCTCAACAATGATACATATTAGTCTACTCGATAGTTATTTCGCATTTATGATATTTATTATAGGATATGCATTGGCACTAATTATTTTATTATTCGAAATAATTTTAAATTTTTTTATTCGTAAGAGAAATTAATAATTACTTATAAGTTTCACTTAAATATGGTAGTATAGCTAAGATATTATTTTAACATTATTTTCTGAAATTTAATTAGATTTTCAGCAATTAATCAATAAATAATATTAATATTTATTGCAATAGTTAATTTTAATATTAATTTATTTAAAAAGTGCATAATTATATTAAATGTATATAGTAAACAAGAATATACAAAATCACATTAATTCTAAGATGCAAGATTTCTTCTTCTCAACTTGTATGCAACATTTAGCCGCGTCCTGTTGATGCCTGATACCAGTAACAAATTAAGTAAATTTCGTATTTGTTTTTTGTAGTGCAGGCCTGGATAATCTCGAGAGCAAGTGGGAGGAATATAAGTACATATGGAGACATAACGAAACGAGGTCCTGGCGACTCTATACATATATTAACGATAGGTAATAAATAATATAATATGTAAAGTAAAAAGTTCTGAGCCTTTTTTGTTATATGGCTTTAATGAGACACATCTCACGATGTATAAGTTGCATCTTGTCATTTTATGCTGCGACTTAAAGGCGACATAACGCTTTAAAAAAAATTCTTTAACAGTTTTGTAATTAGTGAATCCTAATATTGAATGTACCAGCAAAGCGTTGGTTCCAATGCATGATACACACGTTCTGTTAGGCCAATCGTCGAAAATGTTGATAAAATCATGGAAATCGAATCGGACTGGCATGCGAGCACTTATTCCTTTGCCCATGAACTGAAAATTAGCCAGAAAACAGTTTCGAACCATTTGCATAAGGTCTCGATGTATTAGACAAAACGCTCAGAACTTTTTACTTCATCCAATATAATCCTTTAAAATAATATTATTATAATAAAAACATAAATTATTTCCATCAATTCTAACTTTTACCTACATTCGTTGAAAAATGTGTACATTTACCTGTAAAAGTATATATATATATATATATATATATATATATATGAAGATGATCTCAAATCAAAACTCACATTTACCAACCAAGCTGGTAAATGTGTACATATACTGGTTTTGTTGTTTTACCAGCGCTGTGTTTCATTTATTTATGAATTATTATTGCAATTATTTTTTTTAATATTTTGTAATAAATCCACTATTTGAAAATGAATATTAATTATTATTACGTTACTTGATGGATGCTTGGCGTGAAAACATGGCGTTCCTTAGTGCATGGAGAGCACATAACGCGGCGCCACAAGTACCAGTATAAATAAATATAATAGCGCCAAATAATTTGAAATTTCAAACAATAAAATACTTTCGAATATATATTACCTATATTTACTTACTATAATAGTTTTTATTGCTTTAACATTTTCGCAGTATTTAGTAGGGCCTATGCCAACAAAATATCCTTTTTCATTCCTGACTTTTTTGGTACTTTTACATGCTGGTTCAATACACACTTACTCAAGTATTTGTTGTGAAAACCATATTTGATTCATTATGTTATTTCATTTGCAAAATGGAGAAATGGGGCCGCCACTACTAAAAGGTTAAGAACCACTGTTTTATGGGATACAAGATTATGTTTGCCTTTAGCTGCCAATGCCCTCTATGGGTGAAAATCAAACATATTGTGGCTTTTTACTTGACATATTTACCACATTTACTGAACAGCTGAGTTCGTTCGAACATGTCATAATATTTTTTAAGTCAATAATAATAATACACTAGAATAATGAAATGTGTGCACATAAACATAAGAAAAGCTACACTGATTGTTTTATCAATTTTATTAAATGGTGCTCAACACTCACACAGCGGTAAGATATAATATATAATGAAGACAACTTAAGCAGTAATACAACAATATTTTAGCTGACAATCACATGGACTTGACAACTAAAAATATGAATGTGAAAAACACTTCTCATTCAGAACAAAAGCCAACAATTTTAGTATGTATTAATTAATAAGTTATTTTTATAGTCGTGATTGGAATTTATTTTACAAATAATTTTATTTACACTCTTTTTAGGAACATTTAAGTCAAGATAGTGTATATACCTGTCCTCAAGATAGGGATTGTGATACTTTAAGTCCAAGATGTATGAATTGCAATTTAAACTATTCGTGCATATACGGGGAGGAATTGGTCACAAAATGCAGTATTTTCAAGCATATTAAGTGCAGGGTATAACATTATAAGTATAATATATATTTATATGATTTTAACCTTAGTGTTGGTTTTTAGGGTGATGATATATTTGAGAAGAAAATGATTTGCAGATACTGCTTTCAAACTGAACCATGGGAGCATTCGTGTGATTTGAAAGCAAACTGTAATTCTATAGCAACAACAAGGTCCCCATACACCACCAATTGCACTGTACATGATAACATTATTTGCCTTGGTAAATTATATAAATTGTTATCATATGAATTAAATTTTATTAACGTAAACATTGTGATTTTCAGGTCCGAGAACATTCAACAAAAATGTTCTTTGCAATTGGACCGGTGGATATCGCTGGTCCACCGCATTGATCTTAAGTATAACCTTGGGAGGTTTCGGGGCAGACCGTTTTTATTTGGGACATTGGCAGGAGGGTATTGGAAAGTTATTCAGCTTTGGTGGATTAGGTGTGTGGACACTTATTGATGTTATATTGATATCTCTGCAATATCTCGGACCTGCAGATGGATCACTGTACATTTGAAACTTGGGATAAACACGAATTGAAAGGTGATATAAGTGAAGACTATACAAACAAAAATAAACGATTTTTATTATTAAAATAAATAAATAAAATGTTAACAAACCATGTTAATTTCATAAATCAAATGTTCCTTTAATTCTGCATCATTCATGGTATTCAAATCATCAGTTGATATCTGTAATTACATATTCCAATTCTTTAACAATGCCAAAAATAAAATACTTACGATGATTAAACCTTGATCCATCTTGTCCAACAACCTTAATTTGAGTTGCATGAGACCAGATGCATAGTCTATTTTGTTTTTCACGCAAACGTAATCGTCGAATACTTCGATGAAAACAGACTTATAAATGTTCTTTTTATACCCAGTTATTCCCACGATTTGTACGTGCGGTATTTGACACTCGTACTCGAATTTATTCAATTCTACGCTATCACTGAGTTCCTTCAATATGCCGTAAACCCTTTCCAAATTAGGCCTATAACTCAGTTGCTTCTTGATATTATAATATTGGAAACTTTGCGGTTTTAATTGCAGTTCTTTGAATAGCGATAGGTTTTCCAATTGCATACAACTCAGAAGCATATTCAATTTGTCTTTACTCTTCGTTTTACTCTCTGAAACAAAGTTATTATTAAACATCCTTACGCGTTAAATATATTTGTATCTATTACTTTTAATTTGAGTAATTTTGTCATTGGAGAAACAATAAGGCACTAGCTCAAACGCTTGATACTCCATAATCCAAAGGTATAGAATACAATCTAATAATGTTTCTGGTTCATCATCGTAGTCTTTATCTCCGATTTTCTTAACCATTATTTTGATGAATACATCCTTGATTAATCTCTTGTCCAATTTATATCCCAAATTGCTGTACGCCCACAAAAATCGTTTAATATCCTTTGCTCTTATTTTATCACTAAAATTAGACTTCTTTACCACGTCGCATGTCAATTCCTCAACAGCCTTGTCTTTGAAAAGATTCAAAATGTTTTCATCGTAATAAGAATAGTCGGAAAAGAGGGCAAGCACATGGCACATTGTAGTAAAATCATAATGTTCGTAAGTTGAATTAAACAACATAGCGCAAGATATTGTGCTCAAAATACTCTCATTCTGAGCCCGGTTATGTCTCAAAGTTTTAATGAGAGTAACAAATATTCGTGTGTCTTTTAAAATGTCCAAATTGTTGTTTATTGTGTCAATAATTTTCACGCAGAAAGCTTCATTCTTTATCCTTGTGCTGCATTTAAAGGTTGAATTGCATATTATAGACAGCTCATTCACAGTTAATTCATCTATTGTTTTTTGATTGAAGGACCTCAAGCACTGCTTAAGCAATAATTCAGAGTTACCAGTATTTTTCTGTAAGCCAGCATAAAACATTAGCTGCAGAACTTCTTTAGTAGATAGAAACTGAAAATATTCATTCAAGAATGTGAGAGCAGCTTTGTAAAATTCGTATTTCAAAATTTTGTTTGGTACAATTTTCATGTATATGTTCAGTATATTAAAAATGCTTGTTGTATCTAAATCAGTCAACCTGTTGCAGCATTTATTATTGAAATAATTTAACTTTCTGGACAATTCACTTGGTGTCTTTGAACTCTGCAATTCTTTTATCACATGTTCACTCTTGTTCCAATCAAATGATATTGAAGTGTTAAGTTCAGAAGCATTTCTTTGATTAAGATCTTTCACACAGAGAAGCAATCTTCCTGTTACAGTATTTTCATCTAAAGCTTTGTTCTTCAAAGTAGTTTTACAAAAATATCTCACATCTTGGTATACTTTAAATCTATGTACATTACGATATAAAAACATTTCTTTCTTTTATCACAGTTACAGTAATATGCAATAATTACGATATACTAAGTTACAATGAGGTTATGTTGTCTGAGACACATAATATGAAAACTTGAAGGAATTTTCTTTTAATTCAAATGACTATATTTTATCATGTTCAATACGCTTTTTAAAATTACTACTAAAAATATTTAATAAAAATTCAATATTTCAGAATAGTTCATTTCAACCGTATGAAATTATCAATTTATGATCTTATGGTTACTTTCTGTTTCTGGCCCATGACTATAGACAACTTCATTTGGTTTATATTTAAATTGAATGAGCGAATGGAGCGAAGTTTGTGTAACCTAAAAATTTAAGATTAAAAATCGAAATGAACACAAGAGAAATATTAACGTTACAATTTGGTCATTACTCTAATTTCGTGGGTAGTCATTGGTGGAATGTCCAGGAATTAGGTTTCGAATACAACACTAACACTGACAATCCTTCAGAAATTAACCATGATGTATTTTATAGGGAAGGACAAACTAATAAGGTATACATTAACAACATGTAAAGGATAATAATAAAAAAAATATAAATTCTATTTTTAGAGAGAAGTTACTTACACCCCTAGGTTACTGTTAACAGATTTAAAGGGAAGCTTAAAATCTTTACCACAGCAAGGATATTTATATGATCCTCCAGTAGATCCAAATAAATTTGAAACCTGCTGGCATTCTGAAGTTGCCATAGAAGAGGAAGAAAAAATTGCTAAAAATGAATACCAAAAGGAAATTGATAATCCAGCAGAACCCAAAATTGAATACAACTTGGAAGATTCTGTTGATGTGTGGTCTGATTTCCTCTATGCAAGATTCCACCCACGTACAGTTAATGTTATAAATGAGTATCAGCATGAGAGTGAGGAAACACCATTCAACATTTTTCCTGTGGGTCAAAAACTCTGGGAAACTGATTATTTCAAAGAGGATTATGCAGATAAAATTAGGAGCAATGTTGAGGAATGTGATAACTTCCAGGTATGAATGCTTGAAACAACAGAAATATTGTGTATAATATATATTTTTTAGGGATTCCAAATTTTATTAGATGCCAATGACGCCTTTGGAGGATTGGCTATGTCCTGTATGGAATACATCTGTGATGAATACGAAAATAAATCCATCTTTGCTTTACCATTGATTCCATCATATTACAAAGATTACTCATATACAACTGAAGAAGAATCTCGAAAATCTGGTGTGAACGATCAAATGCGTTTGATTAATTTAGGACTTTGCTATAACATGTTAATCGAAAATTCATCAGTTTTCGTACCGTTGAGCACATCTGGCGTTGGCTGGAAAACGTCAAGTCAACCAAGAAGTTTTAATCACGTGAATTATAAAGTAGGATATTATTATTATTTGATTCTCGCTATTTGATTTTAATTTGTTGTTTTTTTTTTCAGCCTGAATCGTGGTATCATTCCAGCGCTATTTTAGCATCCGCATTGGATACATTCACACTTAAATACAGACTTAAGAATACATGTTATTCTTTGAGTGATTTTGCTGTAGATTTAACTCCGTATGGAAGAAAGGCTACTGCTGCTAGCATTTGCTTGCCGTTTTCATTGAACACTGGAGGATATTTGATTGATTGTTTGGATAATTGGGAGGGTCCTTTAACGCAAAGCATTACACCTAACTGTACAATTGGTAATACTTTTATATTAATTAATTTAATTAAATAATGTAAATGTTCCTGTTTCAGGTAGTTCAAGATTAATGCAATTGTATACTCTGAGAGGTGTAGGTGCAAATCAATTAAAAAAGCCTTCAAGCGTTGCAGGCAAGCAGCTTGATATGCCTGCATACAGATGCAATACAATAGATGAAATGCTCAGCATGTATTTGGCTTATACATGCCATGCAAGTGCGTCTAATGTAACGTCTGTAAGTAAAGGTCTTCAAGTAAAGAAACCGTTCCCAGATATATTTGATAAGAGGGTTGGTCGAAATGGAAATATAATCGCGGATGATAGAAATCCGGACATGAGTGTCCAGTCTGTACCAATAATGACTGGCTTACATTCTGGGTCTGAAATTGGCAATATGATTGAGTCTCTGCATACGGCAATGAACAACATAAAAATTGCCCGATTCCAACAGTACGCTTCAGCAGGATTAGAAAAAGATGAATACAACGAATGTTTAGCAAAACTATTTGATTTTCGTGAATTATATGATGATAATTATGTATTGTAAAGCTTTTACAAAAACTACATACATTTTATTGATATTAATCAAATTTTATATAATTGAATCACATATAGAAATTGCTTGCTACTACTAAAATTAAAATTCTTGTATTAACTTGTTTTTTTATATTTTTAAGTAAATAAAATAAAGATTTTATTTATATTAACTAAAAATAACTTGATTCATTTAATCCTATGTATATTGTATTTGGAACTATATAGTCAGTTACATAACCTAAAAATTGCCCGGTAATTCAAAGCCTATCATATTCATAATGGTTACAAATCAAACTTTGATTAAAATTGCTGCAATTGGAGGATTCTTAACCGCCTCTATGGGATTTGCCTACAGATCGAAAATTAACTCGAATATAGCAAAAACGGATTATTATAAAGAAGCTATGAAAACTGTAAGGAGTCATAAAGGTGCTATCCATTTGTTAGGTGAACCAATTAAAGACTGTAATATAGATGTAACTGATTCTACCAAGAATGTAACCAGAAACCTTAGTGCACAGTATGCAGTTCCAGTTAAAGGTGCAAAAGAATATGGTACAGTTTACTTTTGGGCTAACCGACAAACTTCTGATGACAAGTGGTCAGTAAATAGAATTGAACTGGAGCTTAAGAAAGACAATACAAGGAGACTGTTGATTAAAAATGTAGAAGTTATTTAATATAAAATTACAAATTATTTTAATAAAATTTTAACAGAAGTTATATACACATGTTTAAATAAAAGATGACAAAAAATTACCAAAAATGTTTTGAAATTAATCCTGTTGGAGGCATTATCATACCCGATTTTTTATATTCCTGCAATAAAAGTTCCAACCTAGTTACAGGTCCTCCAGTATCAATCTTCTTCAAAACATGCAAATAATTGTCCATTAAAAACTCCAGTGTTTTCCTGAACTGATTTTTGTATGTTTTTAACATGGAATAGCCACAGACTTCCAGAAAAATGTGTATCAAAGTGGCAGTTATATCAATACAAGGTTGCAAGTTTAATATGTTTGTGAACCATCTCCACCCATTTGTCAAGTCATGTGGATGTGTTGTCTGGTTGGATTTAGGGTGCGATATTAAAATAGCACAATACAGCCTCATGATGCCAGTCATTCTCTTCAAAAATTTATCTTGTGTTTCAACAACACCATCTGAATACTTATATCCCAAACACTGATAGTATTCTTGATCACTTTGATCAACAGTTTTTGGGAAATAAATAGGAACAATATATGGACATTCACTGTGCAAATGCGCCATAAACAGTTTTCCAAAATCAGGAAAATTATTCCAAAGAGAAAGAATTGTAGTTGCATAAGGGTAAGCTGCTACAGCATTACTAGAGATAATTTCTCCTTGCAATACAAATTTCTTAGCTAATAAGTCCATAGCAAATGCTATACCCTGAGGATGTCTGGTAGCAATAATATTGCTATCTCCCATTTGAATTGGCTGCCCTGAAAGTAATGCATTCAATTTATTATATTTGTCAGTTAAATGATGACAGCTAACATCTGAAATTGAATTTACTGGTGTGTTTATAGCTTTCTTCAGGTCAAATTTTAATGTCTTGTTTGCTGGATTATTTTCAAGATCTGCATATCCAGCTACATAGTTTTCCAAAAATACGTGAAGATCTGAATATGTTTTCAAGGCAGTCTTGCTAACAAAATCAAACTTAAAATTATCTTTGATTGCAGCATCACTTGCAGATTTACTTTCTTTGGCTTGAGCTTCAGCTGCAAGTCTTGCCAATTCTGTTTTTTCTTGATCCTTTGCATTCTGCTCATCAACTTGCCTATTATGATCAGCAATATTGTTATTTATAGCATCTTTCAACTTCTTAGCCATCTCATACAGATCGGAACATATTACAACGTCGTCTTCACATACATTATTACTTTTACATTTATTTATAATCTCGTCCATAAGCGGTGGAAGACTTTTCAATTGTTGCAAATATTCACTTAATGTACCTTTCATTTCTTCAGAACATGTCTTTAAAGTATCCAATAGCTCTGTGTAGATTTTTCTGAACTCTTGCTGAATTGTAAATATCTTTTCAATAAGGTTGGTCAAATGTCTATGCTTCTCTTCCTTCTCCTGTATTTGCTTATCATTTTTCTTTCTTTTCTCTGCAATTTCCTGGTAGTACTTTAACAATTGTTCATGCTGCTTAGATGAATCAATCTCATGTTGCTGCATAGCTTGCATTATAATAACTTCCTGTTGCTGCATGTTGTTCACTATCAATTGCTTCTTTTCCAACCATGATTTTTTCTGTTGCAATTTTTGCTCACGGTTGAAAAGAAGAAATCTCTCACGGTGAAGTTGAATTGCTTCTTGAATCGTCTCAACTCTTTGCCTTTCAAAGTTTTTATAAATTTCTTTGAAAGGAGAATATGTACTAATAGCATTAGAGATGACTGCATTTTTGTCTACTTTATCTACACTTTTAATTTCTGTTGTTTGACTTACAGTGGTTTTTTCATGTTTCAAAGAGTTGGGTCCTATGGTCACATCTTTAACAAATTTGTTTATTTCCTTAGACTTTGATAATGCTGATACTTTCAATTCAGTAAGATCAGATACAATGCTATCCATTTTAATGCTGAAAATATAAATTAAGATTAACACTTTAAAAGAAGTTCATTACTTACAATAAATATCACAATAACAATTAGGTTAATTTTAAATATATGGAAGTGAATAGTTGATGGCGTTTTTGGTAAGTACTTAGGTTTAAATAACAACAATATTTGACTATAGTTAACATTACTTGAAGTTTTCTATGTATCTAAACGGTATTATTTGCTTTATGCCGTATATACATATTTACTATTTACAGTTGAAATCATTAGAACTACCAGTCCATTGATGCCAATAAAAAGATATTAAAAAAATTAAAAACTTAGTAACTATTAAGATAAACAATTAAGTAATGAATCTAAATACATATATTAATATATTATAATAGTATATTCATAAACTAGTGCATAAATAGATTAAAGTAAAGTGTCAAATCATTTGAACTACTGTCATGACTGTAAACACTTGTCTGATGAATATTATCTGATGTTGACTTGCAATTTTCCATATCATCAGAGTTTTACTATTTAAAATCTTTTAATTGTTTTTAAGATGTTCACCCATAGTGATGTAATTTTATTGCTTGTGAAGAATCCTGTGGACGTGTTTGATGAGACAACGCGTTTACTAGTAAAAATTGCTGATAATATCCTTAAAAATCCTGAAAACACCAAAGTAAGAACTTTGCAAAAATCTAATAACACAATTGCAAATAAAATTATTAAAGTTTCTGGAGCAGTAGACTGCCTGAAGTTTATGGGATTTCAAGAGGTAAACATTAATGATCAATCAATCATTATCTTCAATATTGTTATTTTTTTAGAATGAAGATACTCTAACATTGCCATTAACTAGTAAATTAAATAATCTGGAATTGTTAAGGAAAGAACTTATTAAAATGAAGGAGGGTGGAAAGTGCAGTATTATGGATGCAAGCAAACCAAGTTCTTCTAAAGAAATTATTCAACCTGTAATTTGACTATGCTATTGTTTTTGTAGCATGTAATTAACTTTATTTATTTTAGAGTGTAATAATTAACAATGGAATTCCAACATATAGTGCATCTGAAATACGTTTTTTAGATAACATAAAAAAAGTTAATTTACCTTTGTTAGTGCCTGTAAGTAATACATTATTGTAACATGAATTTTAATTAATTGTATTGAATTTTTAGATGTTTACAAATCATTTTTTAAGCAGAGTAGAGCAGTATTTCCATATGGCTTTATATTTTGATAATGAATATCTTAAGGAAAGAGCAAAAAGCTATGTACCTTATGTGGAATTGCAATTGAAGGCACAGGAAAGGTTTAGACAGATACAAAAATTAGTGAAAAGCGGTAATGTTTTGCTTGATTTAGCGTTTATAATTCATTTTGTGTATATATTTTTTATGTAGGTAAAATGGAAGATCCGCTAATTGATATTCAAGATGCTTTAATTTTGGAATTATTAGTTTGGTTCAAGAACGATTTTTTCGAATGGGTCGATTCACCTGATTGTGAAAAATGCGACAGTAAAACGAAATTTTCACATATGAGTTCTGATCCAAAGCTGTTAACGTACACGGACAAAGTTGAGGTAATTTGAATATTGCGCAATTCTAGGCGTTTTCTAAATTGATTGATTTAGGTACATATTTGTGTAAATTGCTCGCATCCAATGTTGTTCCCTCGATACAATGATTTAAATATTTTGCTAGAAACTAGGAAAGGACGCTGCGGCGAATGGGCTAAAACTTTTACTTTGATATGTAGATCGTTAGGATGGGATGCACGATTTATCGTTGACGAAACCGATCATGTTTGGACAGAAGTAAGATATTTAGAAAGAAAGGAAACAATTATTTATTTATAACTTTTCAGGTTTATTGCCATAGTCAAAACCGTTGGATGCATTGCGATCCTTGTGAAAACGCGTACGACACACCGCTTATCTATGAAAACGGTTGGCAAAAGAAAGTTTCTTATGTCATGGCTTATTCCGGTGAAGATTTGCAAGATGTGACTTGGAGATATACCAGCAATCATAAAGCTGCACTTGCGAGGAGAAAAAATTGTACGGAACGAGAACTTGTAGATGCTATTGTCCAACTGAGACAGATGAGACAGAGCAGCTTGTCGGACAGTCGAAAAAAATATTTAAAGAATCGACTTTTAAACGAATTAGTAGAATTGATGTTTGAAAAGTAATTAATCACTTTTTCGTTTATTGTTTAATAGATTTGATGTGTTTCCTTATAGAAAACCAACAGATAAAGATCAAGCCGGTCGCGTTTCTGGTTCGTTAGATTGGAAATTATCGAGGTGCGAAATTAAAGAAGCCATTGGTTATGTTTGGAAAATACACCCGGTACAGATTGAAGGCAATCAATTAATTTTGCAGTATTCGTGCGCAAAAGATGCGTACGAGTTAATATCGAATGGTGAGGTTATCGAAAGTGTCACTGGTTGGTCGAATGGTTCATTTTTATCTAGCGGAATGTTCAGGAAGGAAGAGAAAGACTGGAAAATGGTTTATTTATGTCGAAACGGTAAAACGTCACCAATCGCAACTGCAACATTTTCTTGATTGATTTTTTTTTAGAATCTTCAAAGGAAGGCGCACTAAGTTGGAAACTTGACATTGAGGATGAAAGTCTTCGTTTTCAATCAGTTAAAGTGGAATTGGGTCATAAGCTCTATGAAAACGGAAATATTGATTTAAAAGTTGAAAATCAAGTTGTGGATTTATGTAAGTCTTGACTTGATTGTAACTGTATGATCTTAACTCTTCTCATTACACATTTTAGCAAAATCTGAAAATGTGAATATTCCGGGAACAAAGTCGGTTTTAATTTCTGCAAATTTGAGCGGTGGAAGAGGGGATGTGTCTTGGCAACATGCACAACTTTTTAGGCAAAATGAGACTTCGGATGATTTTCCAATGAAATTTGTTTTTACATTTGCTAAAGTGTAATATTTAGTAACGGTCGTTTAAATCGGAGGTTACGTGATTTGAAAAGAGTTTTCATTTCACTTATTTTCAACTTTATTCATCTCAAACAAGCACGATCGTTATTACGTATTAAATGGTATAGAATAATTAAATGAAATAAATTATTAAATATTGAATTGTTTTATTTTTAAAATATTTTCATCTAACTATTGATTCATAATTTGATATAAATGCATGCATTAGCGTATTTTTTTACACGCTTTTGTACGCACAACTCATCGAATTATTGTAAGGCAGGAAAAATTAAATATTCAATTCTAAAACATTTGTTTTTATTTTTAAGTTTATTATATATATTTATAATAGTGACACAACACAAACAGAAGCAATACTGTTATTCATACTACAAGTGGTCTGAAATAAACAATGAATGAACTAAAAATAATATATCTCTACAGGTAATAATTATATCCAAAATCTTGACAATGGATGATGACCATAGAAATGGAAAGGAGCGAGCACGTCAATATTTATATATAGTATTTTATGTACATTACACACTTACACCATAATATTAATAATCAAAAGAATATTTATTTATATAAAAAAACAACTAATTATTGAACGATTTTAACATACAAAATAAATAAGATAAAATAATAAAAGCTTATTTACATATTCGTTATTAATATATATATAAAAGAAAAAAGAACTTATATGTACAAAACAAAAGAAACGAAATGCAATTAATCAAAAGATCCTTAATAATAATACTCGAAGGAAGTCGTGAATTTAGAGAGTTCTTTTATGGATCCTTCATTTCCCCCTATTTAACAAATCCTATTCAACTATGTGTTTTAAATACAAAAATAATATTCAGTCGTATGAATTACCTGGACGTAACAATTTTTTTTAGACAATAAACCATGCGATTTCTTCCTATTTTGCATATTCGAAACTATCGTAATATATCTATAAATTCAAAAACAAAGTGACTGATGAAACAAAGTTAATTGTAGCGACTCAGAAAATTGGAATGCAATACGTTTGTACTTATTTTTCGATGTAACAAATATCAAATAATTGAATAAATGGAGAAAGAGAAACATTTAAAAAAAAATCGCACAGTTTTCAGAAGATCTATCATCAAATATTTGTATGTTATATTTATGTATATATAAAGAAACAATGCGTAACTCTAAACCATATCATATTCACCTATTTGTTATCATTTAATTTTTATATATGACTATTACAACAGTACTTGAATGGAGTAAGTATACATGCTATATATATTTGCGTGATGGTTTATCTTTATAAATATTCTACAATGCTGGAATTGACTGTTTAATAAAGTCACATTATTTAGTTAATTATATAGTTAACTATACATTAAAAAAAGTTTAATACGATCGGTTAATATTGTCTCGAGTTTAAAACAATTCAGTGGATTTTCGGCGCAGACCTGTCATTTATTATTTTAGCCCTTTTCAATGTAGCACCTCTTTTGATTTGGTCCATCAACGATTCGTGACACACTTTGGGATCGGGCTAGAAATAGATTTAAATTTGTAACATCGCAATTATCAATTAGAGTTCTGATTATATTTACTTGTGCCCTGCTGTTAATTATCTGTCGAATCTTCGACGCTTTCTGTTGCGTGTGCGTGGAACTTCCGATATGTTGGTTAGATAGCTTGGCATTCAAAGAGTCTAGGAAACTTTGGCCTGGACCCCGTCTGTTCTGTGGATTTATTGGAGCTAAGTCTTCACTGTGACGACGAGAACTCCTGGGACTCAAGCTGGGCACGAGTTTAGCGCTTAGAGCAGCTATGAAGTTTGAGCCAACACCGCCAGGACCTAAAATGTATAAGATTAACATTAACTTTATTGTTGATTAAGTATATTATAAACGAATTTACCCTCACCCTGACGCCTCTCAGCGCTTTGAGAACGCATACTGTTAATTTTCCGAGAAGCATTTGGACTGCCAGGCAGTGTCATTTGCGTTGGCTGTGCATAGATTACTCCTCCGGATTGGTTGATGTACGTTAGCTTGGATTGATTATTCGATTGGAATGAACTCAAGATTGGACTTGGCTGGTTTACAGATGTTGAACCAGAGCTGTATATAGATTGAGTGGAAGAATGTTGACCGCTGCTGTAGATACTCTGGTGCTGCATCCCGACGCCGTACGGGGATTGCGAAGAGGTAGACATGCGGCGAACCGAATTCGGACTTGCCGGCATATGTCTTTGCTCTGCAAAACACGTTTGTTCTGATACCATAGGTATAAGTTAATATTCATCTAACAGTGTGTCATAAAGTATCATGCAAAAGTGAAAACCGAAAGCCACGGTTTCAAGGAGCAATCATGCAAATAGGTGATATAAATAAGGGTGTACTCTGTATGTATTTTTAACTGGGTGTATGTAGTGCACGTCTTACCTGTCAAAGCTTTGATCGTTTCGGCAACGTTCACGCCTACCGGGGCTGGCGAACTCTTATTTGGTTCCAATAAGAACGCAGGCGGTGGCGGTAAATTCTCAACACTTCCAACTGGTGTCAACGGTCTATTCGTGTTCGTTATAGATGCCGTCCTTCGAATAGGAGGCGGTGGTTTATTTCCTTGTACCGATGCCCTACGCAAGAGCGTAGATGATCCTCTCAATCCACCACAACCGTATACAGCTAATTAAAAATATTCCATTAATACACAATGTACATTAAAAAAATCAATACAAGCAAACAATCACAGTTAAAACAACGAACAATTTTGCCCCACATACAAAAAATAACAACTTGTTATTTAACTTGTTTTAATTTTACCTGTCATGGATAGTGGTCTTCGTCTTGGTGCCCCAGTAGGGTCAGTGCTGGACTGGCGCGGAAGAGTGCAGTATTTCACAGCATCTAAATCTACATAACACACACACACTTCTAATTTAACAAAAAACACAGCATGCGAAAAGAGTGGATTACAAGCTATAGTAGTTAAAGAGAATTAGTAGAAATTAGAGGTCACATATCACTATTATTTGGTAGTTCGATAAAATCAATATGTTAATTATAATATGCATTATAGTATATCAATTTCTCTTTGATTTCCAAATTCGTATATTAATTCAATATAAAGTATTTATTTATAATGAAACTATAGAACTAATTTGATTATGTAGAAATAATTGGTTTCTATTAAATTTAATTATAGGATGTTGCGCGAAAAGTATGAAAAGAAGAAAAAATCATACCAACTACTGAGTCTAATAGAAGAAAATAAGTAGATATAATTAATAAAAAGAGTATAGAGTTAAGTTAAAACCAGAAAAAATGCACAGACCCAACACACAAAATGATCTCTCATGCTTTTATTATATAATTATCGTGTGAATTCTTACCTTCTTGATGAACGGGATCGCAGTCCGCTGCTGGAAATGTAGTCTGGCTACCATAGCCGCTGGAAGATTCCAGAGAACTCTCGCTGGTGCTGCTTTCTCCTTCTACGGGACCTGGGGCAGCTGTACCACTTGTAAACTCTGCCGGTGGAGGCGGCAACGATAGCTCTTGAGCTTTATTTGCAGCCATGCTAGCTAATTCGTGCATATTCACGTAAGTCGGCTGAGGCATTGCTAAAATGAGATGTTAGATGTGTTAAAAACGATGCGATTTCAAGACCGGGAGGAAAAATAATGTACTTTGTCATAGGAATTGGATTTGATAGAGAGGTTTTAAAGAGAAGTGTGCTTAAATGAACGCGTTTACCTTTAGCAATGTGCGGTGGAAGAGAGGTGGGTTTGGTGACTTTGTGCTGATCGGAGGGCGCGTTCACTGTGGTTGGCGGCAGGACTCGGACCGCAGACATGCCTGCAATTGTTTTGGCTGGTACGCTGGGTCGTTCCAGAGATGAGCAGCGTGTTGGAAGTGGTGGTTTTGACTGCAGGGATTTGACGGAGGGCGCAGGGCTTCGGGGAGCCGACATGATGACACTGTTCTCGGTTGTTGGGGTGGTCGATGTGACGGGCGACACCGGTTGAGACAAACTCTGATCCGGAGCTTGGAATGTATATACAGTTAATGCAGGTCTTTGATGACCTTTCTCATAGGCTAAAACATCAGGGCTCTCTTTATATACATGATCATTAGAAGTAATAACACTTTTACAATAACTCGGATCTTCGAGCCTCACTTTGATAGCTTTTAGTCTTGCATTTAAAACAGTAATACCTTAACTTGCAAACATGATAAACTAAAAAATGATTGATTATTATATCCAAAAAGAAAATGTAATGACTATTAAAAAACCAGACCAAAATCAATCAAATGAACTGTTCAACACCTACGATAAATATGAAAGAGTTCATATCATATGTACCTGATGATATAGTGTGTGGCCTATCGCTGATGATGGCAGATGCGGCCCGCTCAAATTGCAAGCTTTCTTGAAGATTTGGCCAAGTGGCTGTGCTGTTTGGAACAGTTGAGCTTGGTGGAAATGGAGTGCAAGGAGTACTAGAACTGCTGCTGTTTCCGCTATGTTCAGACATATTGGATACCTGTAAAATTAATATGTTTAATACATGTTTTACATTTAATAGTGAAATAAATATGTATAACAATATACTTTAATTACGTGGATTGTAGATGCTTTTACCTGAGCAACGCTAAGAGAAGAGGGGGCTCGAGGATATAAAGTGTCTTGTGATGTAAATCCAGAATCTCGACTGCAAACCGATGGTAAACGAACAGTGCCACTACGTCCTACAGGCTGTATGCACACAATTTACAACATCAACTAATATACAAAATAATATGTCTAATAAAATAAATTAAAAAAAAAATGATAATAGTGCTAGAAATGTAGATAAATCAAATAACCATGCAAATTGACACACATTTAAAGCTTTACTCACTATTGATCTATATTAGATAGAATGTTTACCTGTGAAAGAGACCTGTGCCAATGCGACGGATGGCTCGGTGATTTCGAGCTTCCTGAAGAAGAACTGTTCAATGAGCTGATTGAGCACATTGAAGATTTTCGACTGCCCAAACTGGAAGGGCTCGAAGGTGGAGTTTGGAAACTCCATCCACTGTCAGAACTCTTCAAATCTGCAATAACTTGTTCACTTGCTGGTGGAAGTGTACCAGGATCAGCTGTATGCTTGTCCAACTGAACAACTACTTCTTGCAAACGGGATAGCTCAGATAACATAGCGACCTCTTCATCCTAAAAACAATCCAAATCTTTTAATCTTGGCACAAAGATATTACTCTCGTAGTAATAAAAAAGTCGCTCAATTTGTCAAGACTACTTTGTGATTGACGCAGATAAATCGCATTCTTTATACATTCTTATATATACTTTTTTTGTCATTCCTTACCACAACAGGCTTCAGCATTCCGACGAAGAGGCAGAACCGACTGCGTTCCTCGACCAGAGCGGCTCTAACGGCTTGTTTTTCGGTTTCCTCAAGCAACTGTCTTCGTTCCGTGACGTCCTGCAGGCCGTATTCGAGCCTCTTTTGCAAATCACCTCCAGCGCCTTTGCGCATTTTTTTCTGCAGCCGCAAAGTATCGGTCGACCTCTTCTTCAACTCAGCCCGAGCTCGCTTGTAATCCTTAGCGTGTTCTTTGTCCAAATTCATGACAGTTTTACGCCAATCTTCCAGACGTTCTTGCAGTGGTAATACCAAACATTCCATTATAGTGCTAAAATACAATTTTTAACTTTATTTAATAAGTTCAAATCCAAAAGGGCAATATTACAGAAGGGTTAAGTAAATGGCGAAATGGAAATATTCGAAAATTTAATTTTAATGTCAAGACATTTTGGTACATGACCTTTTAATGTCATACCTGGAAGAGTTTTTAAATGGCGATGTTCTGCAGAAATTAATTACAATTTTGATGCAATTATACCATTAAAAGTGATTCTTATTACAACATTATTTGCCATAGCAATATATCCATTTTTATTTGGTTTGTATTTTACTTGATTAATTATAAATTATGTAGATATACTGGTAAATTTGGTTTTGATCATTTGTAATTGACAAGAAGCGTATTGATTGATTCAATTAAAACAGCTCAACTAAACTATCAATAATAGATATGTTAAGAAATATGTTGACCTTTCAATTACTCTTCCAATCATAAATCATTCTCGTAATTGAGCTGTAATAATTGAAAATTGTCATTAAAATAAAACGATTCAAAATATTAACAATTACGTTCAACAAATAAATGAAAAAAAGTTACCAATTGGGTGTATATACATTTACTACATTTATTAGTGTAGATTCAGTATTTCTGTAAATAAACTACTATTTAATACTATGTACTTACCTAGTAAAAGTCTTCATCCGCGTTTCAACCGCTTTATGTCTCAAGCAGATCCGTGTTAAAGCTGTGCCTATTTCTCGAGTCGCACCTTTAAAACAAATTAAAAACACTAAATTAGTTCATTCGAGTTTCTTTAGATACAATGTACGTACGATATCATAAATAACGTACAACCAATGCAATAAGATGAAATATATTATTTAAGTTTAATACATTAAAACATAGAATTTCAGTGATGCATTGAAGAAATGCTAACGATTTAAAGTTATGAAAATTGTTGCAAAGTTTCATGTGTATATATAAATACTATTAACATAAAAAATAGCGGGCAAATATTTTTCAGGTTGATTCAACCATTTCTTGAATTTCTCTTCGTTCCTTGATTCGTACAATTCCTCAAGAAACGAGTTTCATATAATGGAAGTCTCGAGGTAGTAGTAGTCTAGGTTTCGCAAACAGATCGCTTTAAAGAAAATTATCAAGATGTGCATTACATGAAAATATGAAGGGTTGATTAGCCTTTTGTAAAAATAATAATGATAAAGACATAGAAGAAAGAACTTTTGCTATTATTATTTTGTTTCATTATGCGAGAATCGGGTCAACTGGTCTGAAAAGCCCTTTCGTCCTTATTCGTTACTAATGACTTCGCGAATACAAGGAGAAAAAATAAAACACGTACTGTTGTGTTTTATTTATATATTTTCTTATTGCAGTAATTACTAAAACATTAAAGCGCAGTAATATTCCGCGAAATCGGAAAGTATTAGGTGCAGAGTAGATGGGTGACCGTTACAGAATTGAATGGTTCGTCTTTTATGGCTTATAAATGTCCTGTGCGCGCTGTAAAGTAAATCGAAGCATATTAATTGTGGGATTTACGGCCTGCGATAGGCTTTAGCTTCTAACGTCGTGCTTTTTTTCGATGGGCGTTGGAACATTTTATTTTGATCTGGTCTCGAGTCTTTTTTCTTGTTATCCTCGAGCTGCTGTCGTCGTCGAGAACTGCCTGTTAAGGTAATGACTGCGCTGCAGCTGGATGTACCGAGTCTCAGGACATGCCAACCATCTGGTTTGTTATATCTACACTTTTTAAGCACCCTCAACAATATTATTTACAACCTTCTACTAGTCTTTCAATAAAGGGCACATATGCGAAAGTTAAAATGTATCATTACATTCATACCTCTTTTATAATATATTTTTAACAGATCATCAAACATAATTAATAGTAGACTTTCGAAAGAATTATATATTTTTTTTTCTTTTTGTTTATCAGTTTCAGGACATGATTTCGAAGAGTAACGGATTTTGTTTGAGAAGTGATATTCCACAGAAGAACACATATTTGTCAGCGATTATTCTCTTAAAGAAGGATTTTCAAAGGGAGTTTGAGAACCTCTGGAATCTAGAAGAAGGTTTATTGAAAAAAATTGTTACTTTACATAGTTAGAAATGTATTATCTAATTTATCAATATAAATGGGGCTGTTTAAAATCCTTAATTGGATTGGTTTCTAGAAAACTGGATTCGTACATAATCCAGATCGTGGTAATGCATATGAAAGAAACAAGGGTGTTAAAGACTGGATTTATGTTCGATGGAAATAACATGTAGTAAGCGTGTCGTGCCGGCATACATAAACTTGTAATTTCAGATATAATAACGCAAAATCCTTACGACTTACATAAACTTGCCAATGTATATGTGTGTGTGTGTGAGTCAGGCATGGCGCGAAGAACAGAACACCGATCATAATAATGGCATTGTCAACGCACTCGAATTAAGAATTATGATACGAATTTCGAAAAGGTCAACAACAACAACGACGCACATATATACACATAATTAATAGCGTTTTCCCCAAACGGAAAGTCTCGATACTAGCAAATTTATTGCGCGATAAATATTGCAGGAATGTATTCACGTTGAAATATGAAATATGGTATTCGATTCTGTAGCAAAAAAAAAATAAACGGGTAGATTTTGTCGGTCTTCTCCGTCTGTTCCTTGCGAGTCCTGGTTGGTAGGTGTTTGACCCCGCGCGTCGTTATCGATCTCGCGACCTCACGTGTATTCCTGCCCCACATGCCCATCATAATAAAATATACATCCACCTCACATGACATGACAGCACAACGCATCCAGTTAGCTATTTTTAATCCTCAATTAGTATCACCGCTCCAGCCCCTTGTTGATATACACAACAAAGACGATGATGATTTTATGAGCTTTTCCGATCGGACGGAATCTTAACAGGAATGTGGCCAAAGTGATTGTGTTCGGGAATCGTAAATCCTAGGAAATGCGATTCCAGGATCTGCAGATTTACTGTCTGTGTGTGCAATAAATCCCCAGTCTGTGTGATCAAATATACCATGCACATGCATACATATATATATGTGCCGCACCAGAACTTCATCTGCATTTTCCTTCTTTCCATTATACAGAGCGTATCAACCATTCGCATTATTAATGTACCTCGCGTGCTCTTTGGTCGAGCTTAAATCTCGATTAGAGCTACGTAATTACATAGGTATACATCAATACTTCGAATTTACAGTTTCATTCATTCCTATTAAATCTTAACACATTTCCTATCGTAAAATCATTTTTATAAACCACATTATATACTTCCAGTATTTAAATACATGTGTCGTATTTAAATTAACATTATCGTGAAACATATAAGTAATGTATAATTAAAGTATAAATTAATAATTATTATTTCAACATTAAAAAACAATTCAATGATTTTTCTATACATTCAGCAGTTCAATGTTCAATGTTCATACAAAATCACACACATTTAAATTTTATTTTAATAAGAGGGTAAGAGGGCTATAAATTATTATGTACGTATAAATTATTGTAATCAGTTAAAATGATGTGCGTTAAGTAAATGTTACTTGTATGTACATACAATTCAGTAATAAAATTGTACTTTTTATTTTCTAATCTAAGTCAGTAAATTACATTATAACACTATAACTTTTTTTTCAAGCTGCGGGGCATATGACCAAAGAACTTTAGATCATTTTCTACTTCACTAAAGGTCTAAATTTGAGTCATGTCTTATTGCAAAAAGTGACAGCCATCATGAAATCATGCCCGATTTGATATATCGATGAGTTAATGGAAGTGAACAAAACAAAAAGTGTGGCATTGCGAATGAAGCATGTAAACTTGAGATTTGGCCACCCGCAAGTCGGCATTGAGCACAAAGAGGAGAAAAGCGAGGAACAATACAGCATTGACCAAATTACGTCTGCGACAGGCTCTCTATAAATCATTCGAACTGTCGATTTCTTGTTGTTGTTATGCGTGCGTTTGTTGCTCCATTATTGAGTAACGCGCGAGAAGGAAAATCGAGACGAAAAAATTCTGCGCGCACGACGTAAGCGACGCTTGTAATTATTAATTGGTGTAATCGATTACGCCTGTTTTTAGATTTATTGTATCCATTTTTTTTATACAATTTTCTTTTACCCGTTTTACTTGGAACGGCGCACTCTCTCCTCAAGACACAGTTGCAATTTCGATATTATCGGAACTTGTGTAATTGAAACTATAACTCATTTTACGCTATTTTCGGTGCGCGTAATACCGGTGAACGCAGATAAATTATTATTTAGAGCCAATTCACGCGGACAGAAATACCGTCGACTTTTCGCTATCTCTCGGATATGTACATGCCGCCGTTTAAATCTCTGACATTTATGTTTTAATAAACAAGTTAGTTAGAGTAAAATAAAAGAATTGCAATACTGGGTACGTTGTAGACAGGTTATTTAATCATCCTACAAAAGATGTTGTAATTGAAAATATCGATCCCGTTCAAATGGCTTCGATTCCGCCCAACTGAATTCCACTTTCCGATAAGGGTGGAAAGTCAGATGAAAAGTAAGGTCCTCCCCTACTTCGATAAGATCAAAGGGAAAAGGTTATACCCATATTTGGCAACAAAGTATGAGCATATCTCAAATATAGCATATAGCAAGGAAGCAAATTAATTGACGTTTCTATGGGTGCAGAAAATTGGCTTATCTTTCTGGCATGGAAAGAAACCGGAGAACGATAAATATAAAGGTGTTTCAACCTATTTGCAAAGCCGCGAACGAGAGAAAGAAATGGAAAATAAAAGACTGAATAAGAGAATGAGCGACGCCTTTTTCGCCAATCGCGAAACCCGTTCTACTATTAATTAAATCCTGTTTACAAATAAATCAATTAGTCGACCGCTGATTAACGACCGATTTCGGGCCGAGACATGACCAACTCTGTAACGGCCCACAAATCAATGAGGCAGTTTCGGGATTGAGAAGAAAGGAAAAAAAGCTAAGGACAAATATATGCAGCGTGTTACGGATAAATTATTTGGCAATTTGTAACTTCGCTTCGGAATGCCGGAGAGACACAAAGTTCGACAATATTTCGTTTCCAACGAATAACGATTTAACGCATATTTAAAGACAGTACTTTATTGCATTCATATTTCTTTATTTTCAAACAGTTAAGCTTGGAATTTATCATGCTCGTCAATTAATAAAAATACAGTGGAACCTCGTTTAACGAGCAAAATAAATTGCAAGAAAAATGAATCGCTTAGCGAGCGACGTTCCGCATAACGAGTGGCGATGAGAAGAGAAGTCCCGGATTGCGCGCCTGCTACATCATTTATAAAACTTGTTTACACATATTAAGTGTATTTTTGAAAATGTTTCACTGTGCCAGTATTTCACTTATATCTTACATATTGATATAATAAACAAGAATTGCAAGTACCTTGGAAACAAGAAGGATACTTTTTGAAAATCAAATCTATCTGATTAATTAATTTAAATAATAGTGTTTGCTTTCAATCTTGGCAAAGGAGAATTATTAAAGAATGCATTTTTTTTACACATACAATAAATGAAAAAAAAACACTTTCTACATAACAATCCAATACCACATTAATAAAGTAAACAAAGAGCTAGTATCGAATTTACAATTGTAACATCAAGATAAAGAATATTTAAAAGTCTTAGTCTATAAAAAAATTCAAGGCGAATACCAGTATTTTAAATGGATATCGGTCTGTAAACGTAACCCTGACAAACATCAGAAATTACTTTTATATTTATTGCTCATTTTTCGTTGGTTCGAAACGTTAGAATTGTTGTTAGGTTGACAACCACCTAACAACAATTCTAACGTAGATTTATAGTTAGAACATTAATCTTGAAGTATATTATTATCACATTATCTAGTATAAAGTTTCATAAAGTATCGTGAGGCTACATAATAAATATAATGTTTCGTTTGAATCAATTTATCCAAATTAAAATATTGAATGTGAAGTACATTATGTAATAAAGAATTAAGCAATAAGTTTAATTTTGTAAAAAAAAATATAATTTCATTAAAAATAATAACCTAACATATTTTTAATTATCAAGTTAACTATTACAATTTAATTATATGTAAACATTATGTAATAAGGGTTAATATTATGATATTTATATATAAAAGTATTTGCAATATTGTAGTTGCACTACACCGGATTCTGTATTTATTTTCGAATCGCTCGACACATATTTATTGTTCTATACTTCAGGCTGAAATCCCAATGGCGATTTTATGTAACTGTTTTCGAAGATAAATTGCGAAACGCGAATGTAAGAAAAACAAACGAGACCGGACAACAAGAAGCGGAGAGCATTCGATTGATTTATTATGTCACTTTTCTAGAAGCCATATAATACTGTTCATTTTCCATTTACTCATTTCAACCTGTTTCCTACAATTAGAACTGACCTTTTCACCAGGCCAGAAACGAAAAAAAGAAACAACTGAGCCGACAAACAAACCGAATCAATATGAACGCAGCATACATATTTTTTTTAGTCAATAATATTTTTGTCTGCTTAATTTTAATGCGACATGCGAGCATTATTATTATTGAGGTGCTGTTGAACTGTTGCGTTAAAATTCATTCAATTTAAAGGCGTATAAATCATTTTAATTGGACGTATGGAATAATGAAGGAATAATATTATATTTTATTTAAATTGTTAGTCTATATTAGGCACTGAGGTCAGTTACGATAACTTTAGGTGCGATATTTATGGAAAAATGTGGAAGTAACCTTCGCTTTATTTTTGAGTTTTATTACGACAAATAGCATGGATATATAGTAATTAAAATTATCCTGAAAAAGGTAATACGGCTCCAAATATAGACATTTTAATTAAGACTTCAAATCATATATTTTATATAATAAATTTTTTTTTGAAATTATCTCATAATTTCAACGCGAGTTACGGTTCGAAAAAATACGCTGTTACTCTTCCATATTATCTTTATTTAAATGTTAATTATAGTATGTTTACATAGAGATTAGAGATATCGTTAAGTATATTTTAGACTGCTTCATAAGCTATATTAAGAATAATTATTATATTATGGATAATTTCATTATATTCATAATATATTTTTTAAAAATTAATGAACAAAACAAATCCAGATTACCGATGATAACTTACTTCAATCAAGTATTGGTAAATCCGTATTTCAATCGATTTTTATCTTGATTCAGAAAATCGTTACTTAATTATATTGCAATTAAATCATTAATAATCTAGATACACACATTAAACGTATCAATCTGACACTATTTTTCTTTGAACCAAATACATAAAACCTGGTCTTGCATAAGCGTTTCCAATTCTTCGTGGATTTTTTTTGTATACATCATATTTTTGCTCTCCCGTACGTGCGTTTGTAGTTTTGATTTAGTGTATAGGCGTATTGAAATTAGCCATGGGAAATGAAGGTGGAAAAATCGGTGGCCCAGATGGGGTGTCGAATGGGTGACGACGTCGTCGTCAACAACAACAACTGCATGGCCTGGGAGGGGACGCAGAGAAACTAAATAAACGGGGGGCAGAAAACGCACGGTCGTTACGTAAGGCCCCAGCCCAATAAGACGACTATATAAGCTGGACATAAATGCAATCTGCAAGTGTAGTCCACCGATTTGCATACACACGCATTATAAGATCAAACATTGCAGACCCACTCGTGCGTATAGTATTCTGACATTGCTCTGAAACCCATTAAACCATGACTACTGTCAAGGTAAGTTTTCATTCAAATTGACAATTCTTTATGCTACTCGTTACTATATAATAAATAATGAATACCGTGTTATTCCATCATTTACAATTTAGATATTTCAATTATTGCATTCCATTTATAACCGCAAACTAAAGTGATATTATTTTTTTAATAAAATTACTATAATTAAATTTTCCAAGCAATAAAAATAATTTATTTAACCCATTTTATTGAAACAATTGAAAATATATCAATATATTCAAAGCAAGTATAAATGACATGAGAACATAATATTAGTTTACTACTTATATTGAGTAAATATTAATTTTGTTGCAATTTTATATAATATATATTCTAAATGATTTATTAATTTACCTAGTATTAATACAACTTAACTGATCTTTATAGTTAATTTATACTATATCAAAATTAATTACAAACTAAATTTACACAATAGAGTAGAGAGTAGAGTAGAGTCTTTTCACCTTAATGTTTTATAAACTAACCCAAAATGTAAGATATTCCAAAAAAATGTATGTCATAAGATAGTACAAAATAGGAAATGCACACAGAAGTTACTTTCTTATACACTGAATTTCATTTTTTTTTTTTGATTAGATAAGAGGTACGACACAATTAAGATAAAATTGACACACCTTTGCTTGCATTCAACGACTACCACGTGTTTTCCTTCTGCTTTTCTTTATTCAATTACTTTTTTTTTTCGTTAGTCTTTCGAGCACAACGAGCGTCTCTGTATCCCCAAAACCTACGCAACTTCCTTTCCAGACAACCAAGATAAAACATTAATAAAATAACGAGATTACCGAAAAAAATGTCTATCCATAAAGAAATGAAATGAATGCAAATTTTGTTTATGTGACATTTATTTTATAAATCTGTAATTTAGTAAATTCAGACTGTTTCCTTTCATATTTCGTAATGTTTGAGCATTTATATAACTTTACCTGATTATTGGATTTATTTAGTGAAAGATATTTATGTATTAAATAAGAAAATTGCTTTTATTAAGAATTTGCAATATATTATATGATTAGGATGTATTTTTTTTAAATAATAATTACAAATTTTGATACAAAAACCATAAAATCACAAATTAAAATGATTGCAACAATCTATCTGTAATTAAAATAAATAGATTTAAGATCATTTAAATTAATTGGCAAAACAACTATTAATAACATGTGTATGTATTATATATATGAAAATTATGTTAATACATAATATTTATAAACTATTTGGAATTCATTTGGACTATGAATATCTTCAATTAAATACTTCCTTTCGGTATTATAATTATGATATTGGACTAATATACTTTATGAAAAGAAATGTAGTTTAATTATAATATTAATTAAATCATACGGCGAGAAACGGTAACTTCAAAGTGAGACCCTCCATTAAACGTCGGGGAACTCATTATTAGCATAAGCTTTACAGAGTGATTAAAACTCAATTAGGTGATAGATCGATTCGGAGCGGAGCGTGCTTTTATTAATTATTACGGTTGACAGTAGTTTAATGACATATAACCACTAGGAAGCAATCAAAAGCTATTATTTCCAATATTGATGATATTGATTTGTCATTTTTTATTTCAGATTTTAATTTTGTTGGTGATTTTGGGAGTGGTCAGCTCTAGTCCGATCCAGGTAGGCGTCTATCATCAGCCTACTGTTGCTTTGGCACATGCACCAATCGTGAAAACAATCGAATACCAAGCGCCACCGAAGTATGCTTTTTCGTATGGAGTTAAGGTAAGTCTATTATGGTAGCATAAACTAACAAACAGACTGATACGTGTGCATTTAGGATCCGGTCACTGGTGATAGCAAGGAGCAACAAGAAACTAGGGATGGAGACGTGGTGCACGGTAGCTACAGTTTGGTAGAACCCGACGGCAGCAAGAGAATTGTCGAATACACTGCCGATGATGTGAACGGCTTCAACGCTGTCGTCCATAAGGAACAGCTTCACCACGTTTCCAAAGTTGCTCTCGCCCATGCACCCTTAACAGTCGCCCATGCCCCGTTGGCTCTGGCCCACGCTCCCTTAACAGTTGCCCATGCACCATTTGCTGTGGCTCACGCGCCGGTAACCATAGCTCACGCACCAGCATTTTCTGTAGCTCATGCACCTGTGACCATTGCTCATGCACCACTTTCAACTGCATACCACGTAGCTCACGCACCTGCCGCCGCCTACTCGATCATTCATTAGGATCACTTACTATCGACCGTGCCATTCAAAATAATTGTAAATACCATATCTATCTATATATATTATTCACTATAACACAAGTCTTCTATGTATTACGATATATCACTGTATTCACCCAATGTAATCATTTATTTATTGAAATAATAATGAATATTTTCTGAACTTATCGTTTTAACTACGTCTATTTTTTTTTGTTTCCATCCAAACGTTTCGTGGGATGGCACGACAATGCTCCATCCCACACATACAAAGATTGGCCGTATCGAAACAGCGTAACGAAATGTAAAATAGCCAAAAGAAAAACTGTCTTTTTTAATAGTTCAAGGTTACAAATTCCAAATTTACGTACACAAAAATAACATATCCTGTTTTTATTTGTCAATAAGTAATTTACATACAATTTTACATATATATGGCAACAACGAATGAACAATGAATTATAATTAAATAATTAAAATATTTAAATAACAAATTCAAAATACTAACTTGGAAATCATTTAATTGAAACTATATATAAGCAATTGAGACATAACAAATGAAATAAAATTAGACTACAAATATATTACAAACATATATTTAACTTAATTTTTATGTTTGTAATTATAGATTCACTGGTAGGTTTTTAAATTAAAAAAGTAACGAATGGGTAAAAATTATTGATTTAGAAATAATTTATTGCGATGTTATTGGATGATCGACATTTCCCAATAACACAGTAGATTAGATTATACATAATCCAAACGTTTGTATCTTGCATTATTATAGTTTACTTAGTTAGGATCATTTTTAAAGCAAAAATTAATATGATTTTTAAACTACTTTTCGATATGCGAACGTTTATATTTTTACAATTTCTTATGTATATAAAAAATGCATATATTTGAAGAATTTACATTGTTTTTAATAACGATAATTATTTGAAATTTGTTTCATAGTAGTTCACTCCCAAAAACAGTATTATTACAGAAGTTTTCAAATGTTTTCATTACAGTTTTATAATTTAAATAAATGTCACAACAATACTGCGTAATAAGTAAAGTTTACAACAAAGTCGTTTCAACGAGAAATGTATTTAAATATATTATTTCTTTATTTCAAATTTTTTATGTTAAATTATATGCTGCGTATTCTTGATTAAATTATATCAGAATTAATTTGAAGCTAAATTAAATGTAAATTGATTTTTTCGCATATTAAATGTCAATATTTTTCGTTGCATTAATTAAAATATATTTTGCAAGCTAGAATAATGCGGGTAGTTATATCGTTACTTTCTTATAGGAAGGTAATTGCAGATAATAAGTATTTATTATTTCCGTTTTTTTTTTCCTGTAATTTCGAGCAATCTTGCGAGGAAAGGGCATTAAACCACTGCTACTACGATTACCATCGTATCCCCCCATTTTCACCACATGCACACGCAGTCTGAGAACGTCAAAGTATGTGCCAGGCAGGAAAAGATATCGAAGTCGTAAAGCAATTTTGCCGCGAAGAATATTTTCACTCGAGATATAAATCTTTTCCGTTCCCCCCCATTCGTGATTCGTGGGCCGCAATTGTTGAAATGTAATTTCGCGCTTTCCGCGTGGGCATTCGTAACATGTAAAATTGCCATAAATACATTTTATTGGCGTCCCCATCCCTGGACTAATCGTAGCCTAGTTCTGTAATGGAATTTATTTGTTCCCGGTGTGAAGTTTATTCGTTGAAAATTAATAGAGTTTAAACACACGGGAAGATCAAAAAGTATTATAAAATCAATATAATCGAAGAATTGGTAACAAATTTACAATATACCAAACAGTGTAAAACGAAGCCTCATATAACAGATAGTAAATAGAAAATTTTAAAGCTCTTTTTAGACTTCGTGTAGACTGCGTTATATCGAATCAGCATTATTGAAGGAAGCGCTAAACGAGGTATTACTGTATAAAAGCTGAATTATATAAAATTAATGTTGAGTCTAAATTGAAACCATTTTTTTTTAAGATCAATGGAATTGAAATAAACGACAGATGATTAAAGTTGATCATGCGCTTTATTTAAATATCTCGCGTTTGAACAAAGTCATTCAAAAGTATATTTGAAAGCCCTTTTCTTTTGCATGTTTAAGTGTAATAACTTTTTTAGCGTTGTTTCGTAACTATTGATTTAATATGAACCCATCACTACACACCCAAGAGTAAAGAACAGTTAAAACAGCACACGGTAAAGTAGCTCCAATGAAGGCAAAAACGATTTCATCATCCGGATAGATTATGGTTACTACGTTTGAATGGATTCTCGTAGAAAATTTCATTATAATATAAATTCTTGGAAAAATCGATGAAAAACGACTGAAGTTTCCATATTCAAATATGAAATAGAAATAGCTGGATGGAATTATTTTCTATCAAAAATATCTTGAATATCGTAGATGTCCCTAGAAATTTGAAAAGCAAATATATTATTCCTTCCTCAGTTGTAAAATAAATATGTTTTGTCCTAATATATTCAGGTTCAAACTTAATGAGTCAAAGTATTAATATTATATAAAGTAGTATAAATGTACTTCAGAAAATGCAATTGAATTTGTATTTATTGTAAAAATGACACATTTTATTGATCAAATACTAGCTAACTTATTGACGGCTGTAGCTGAATGCATCCGAGCGTGGAAAAAGTGCAGACCTTTTTCGAGGAGAGAGCACTTTGCCAGAAAGAGAGATTTACGTAAATCTTATATAAGTCTATTTTAGTCGTCTGAGGAGGACATTTCCTCCGAGATTATATATATATATGTGTGTGTGTCAGGCATATGCTGTATGGCAAACAAATAAATAAGTGAAACACGGCACACGTCAACGACGCAAGGACAAAAGCAAGGATACGTAAATAAATAAATCAATTTCCCTGTGCTGCAGGCAAATCGTGAAAAGGAAGCGACTGATCGAAATCCTATGCTCCTGGCGAGAGATAAATGTTTGAAGCGCTTATCAATATGCGAGTAAATAGTGCAGTATTTGAACGGATGAATCATATCTCTTTAGGAATTATCTGTGATGTAGCTTTGGCGCCTGTTGCCTATCGCAAGAGATTTGTTGCAATACATGCTATTATCATACGCACATGTCGAATGATTAATAGCATTAATAAGATCAAGCCTTTATGACCTTTTATAAAGTGTTAATGTTGTGTTTATAACGTGTAGCAATAAAAAAGTTATAACTAGAAACATTAAATAATTATGTACAACAAAAATCAGTTACGTATTAGTAATAATCTCTTACTTACACAATAAATAATTGCCTTCAACAACAAACGTTTTATTAACATTAATCCAATGTATTTATTTGAACTATTGACATTTAAGTGAAAGCCATTTTAAATTAAAATTATATCATTACGATGAGTACATAATATGAATCATAGATAATTGTAACTCTTAATTTTCACAATAATTATTGTAATATATTAAATTATTCCATGTCAATTACTACTTGATACTTGCCAAGTAGAAATTACTTGCATTGTTACTCATGGTTATTACCTGGAAAATATCGCGTATTAAAAAATCTCTAATTATAATTATGCGAGCAAGACATAATTACAGTGAAAAAAAGAACAATGATATAATTTCTTCAAGATTTCATCTGGTCTATTCACAAGTAAAAATATAGTGTAAATTATTTTTAATGACTTAAATAAATCTAATCTAATTTTAAAATTAACAATTAACCTTATTAAATAAAAATTTACTAATTTGTTTATAACTAGGAATGTGCTTTAATAAGTTTTATCTTTATTACATTTAACAAACAGTTAACTTTTACTGTTGTCTCAATTATTTTCAAAATAATTACGATTTCATTCATGGCATGGATTGTAGTATTCAGTTTACGTTTACTATTTTGGAATGAGTTCAAAACTGTTTGTGCGGATTGTTTGGATGGATTTCTTGCAAGACTCGGACTGTTTATGCGATTTTTACCTGCATATTCAACGGATCTTCCCCCTCAAGTAAATCTCATTCATGGATGTGCTTTAGAAAGAGACAGTACAAATGCAAGGATACAAATGTAGAGTGAGAGAGTTATATAAACAGACGATTTTTGCAAGTTTATAGTACACACATCCCTATGGGACCATAAATTAACTACTCGACATTTATAGGTCAGCAGTAAAAAAAGCATCAAATTTGTTTCGCTTTAGATTTTTGTTTACATTAAATCAGTTAATAAGATTTAACTTTAACAGCAGTCAATTTAATACTATTTTGTAGAGAATATAAACTTATCACATCACAATAATAATGTATTTATAATTTCAATATTTGATAATTATAACAAATTGTATGTCATTATTTTCACTGTAAAATATTTAAAATTTTAAAAAGTCTACCAAATATAAAAAAAAATTGAACTAACAAAATGTGATTTGATACTAATACTTGATCGTTAATATTATAAAAAATATTCAAATATTTCATAATGAGCAGTTACTTTACAAAAAAAATAATTTATGTTTACATTGAACTTAACGGTAATGTCATCATTGTTTAAGAAATGTATTTGTAACTATTGGGTTCTCATTGGCAATGTTATAACAATGATTTTCATTTCACATTCACAAAAATATCAACTAGTTTAAATTTTCGCATTCATCATAGTTTCCATTGGTAAATTCATTTTTTGTTATAATTTTGAAGTTTTTATTTTAAATAATTTTCATACAGATATTAGTTACTTTTTTCGTGGCTTTAGAATTTTATTAACTCTGTGAGGAGCCAGAAATTCTTAAATTATTGACCCAACAAAGTTTTAGACAACTGAATCAGCCAACTTCGTCAGCTGTATCAATATCCTATCAAAACTCATCCCTTGATATATCAACAAAATTAAATGGAAATTCCTCTTTCCTGTACATTTTATATAAAACTATAATACTGTCCTACTAGGCATGTTCAAAAGGTGTACTATCAAAGAGTTAACACAAGAAACTTTCCCCAAAAAAAATTGTTAACTTGAAAACCAATTTAAAATATAATCTCAATCTATTTGCATATTTTAAAGCAATGATAGATAGATTTATGCATAGACAGATTTATAATTTCTGTATGTTTCAGAACGAACGGAACGATTTATCGACTTCGGAAATAAATCGTAATTATTTATTGCTATTAAGGCACTGGAATATACTACACACGTAATAACCGCCTGATTCATTATGCATTCATTGTCTCCGTCATCGAATTACATAAGTTCGCAAGTGCGCGATTGTCATTCCAACTAAGCCGTTTGAAATGCATGCACATGTATATTCAAAATATGCGAAGAAGTATTTACGCGCAATAAGCCATCCGCATTATTTACCGAAAACAGCTGCGAGATAAATCAGCGCATTCCATTTATGCACTGGGAATGCTTGAAATAAGAGTTAATATGCGACAATGAAACACGTAATGAAATATAATGTACTTATTCCAGTTCGAAGCCCTTAATTATATAGCTTCGAAGCTTGCATCATCAGTTAATAAAGAGCTAAATGTCACAATTAGCATAATTTTATAATATTAACGCAAACGACTTCTAATCGACGAGAATACGTAATTATGAACGCTATTAATAGCAGTTACGCGATGTTTTTTTTTTTCGCTAAAGGTTGCAATTAATGATATAGATAAATCTTTTAACTTTGGTCGAAGTCGAATTCTAATCAATTTTTGAAGGAAGAAAAAGAAATCCATATAATTAATCTAATTTTAGTGGAAAAACAGCGTAAATAACTCAATTTTTATTCAGCAAAATTAACATAAATTCTAAAAAAAAAAGTACACTGTTTATTTAAACTCCCCAATTAGTTCAAACACTGAGGGATATTTTCAAAATCGATTACCCGTAAGTATTGTTGTTTATACAATACATTTTAGTTTATTACATTTGGTTTTATAAGTACAAATTCAATTTATTTCATTTCTATAGACTTTATAGTTCATGGTATAGCGAATGGTATTGATTTGTATTCATCATAGTTATTAAAACTTCCTTTTGTCATTTAAATAAACAATACCTCGCTTAGTACGGCTTCGATCAGTTTGGATTCACTATAATCCGGTTTGAAATAGCAAGCAACATTATTTGTTATACATACATTTCCCTCCAATTTCTCTTTTTGTACGTTTTTTTTTTGTATGTTAGTTAATAGATTAGTCCATGGTTTCAAAGATTGATGAAATCCATTTCTGAGGTATTTACAAAATATTTTTGTAAAACTTTTAGAAAAACTTCTTCTTCTAATGAAGACTGTATTGGATATTAATGATAATAATTAATAAATTACTTATTGGAATCTGAAGATATTTCCTTAAAAAAACCATATTTCTGTGAACACTTAAATAAATGTGAAGACCACCGATATAGATTAGATTCGCAAACGCCATCACACTCGAATTAATAACGCGATGTTTCCTGTCGAGCTGTCGATGGTTTCCCTTTTCCTACGAAGCTTTGTTTGTTTGGCCAAAGTTATTTTTGGCAATTCGTGGAGGAGCGCGTCCGGATCGACGGAAAAGGGTGCAATGCCCTGTAAACGGCGAGCGTAAAATATATGGGTCAATCGATGGACGCCGCAGGACAAAGGAATCTTTGCCACATGCTATCAACTGCAAAGACAAGGCGGAAGTCTGAAGGATGATCCGATTTCAATCAGGACGAGACAAGTCATTGCCTCTCCGAAGTCGTTGCCACCCACACGCCCCGACAACTATTATTGTTACGATGCCCGAAAATAAACCCGCATATTACGAAATCGAAACGAGATTGTTTCCGTGAGGAGTGAAATGGATGGGATAATCTTGCATCGACGGAAACAACAAAAAAAACATAATAAAACAAAAAAGGGAAACAAAACGAAAAACGCACACAGACAGAACAAATGTTTGTGGTACGGTCTACTTCCCAGGCCATCGATAATATTTACGCGAGATTGAAACAGAAGGATGCACATAAAACATGCTGCACGCCGCTTCGTCACTACTTTCTACATGAGATATGATGTTGGATTTATATTTAAAATGGACTGGCATTTTCATACAAGCAAATGCAATTAAAACTGCAATCATCATTTTATGCACTTGCCGGCGGATCGTAATTATCATTTTCTTTAATTAGCCAATTAACATTTTATTGTAAGCGCACGGATGGAACGCATAGCTTCCAGCAAATCAGATGGAACAATTCGGTTATTTCCATCTTATACAACACATTCATTTCCATCACATTTCCATTTTAACGAATTAAAACCATTTCATCATCATTTCCACCCTTTAAAGTCAATTTTGTAATGAAATGTTCATATTTAAACTCATTTCAATATAAAATAATTAAGTACATATTTCAGAATTTGATTTTTTTTCTCCAATTATTCATATAATTGTAAAAATATTGTCTTTATTATTGTTTCCTCATCTTTGAAATTTTTAATGTAAATAAATTATGTTAACGGTTAAAATATACCTTAATGGTTATATAAACATGGCAAAATTTCTATATTTATATAAAATTTTATATGTTAAGACAAGATACACTAAGTAATTAAAATAGTAATAATTTAGTAGCAACAAAAACTTCAACAATTGTTATTAAACGATCAATGAACTCAAATATTCATAACATTTGGCATACACTTTTTTTTTCTAACATTCAGAATTTACTGATGAGTTCATACCAATCGAAGTGTGTTGAATAAAGAAATTACACATATATTAGTGTTAAACAGATTGAGTAATAAAAATGTGCTAGATTTCACACGTTTACTGACATAAACTGTGATATTTATATTGATATATTTTTGTGAAAATATTTAACGAGAGCAGAAAAATCAATATAACCTTTGTAATAGATATTTAATTTTTTTAATGTTATTTATTAATATATTATATGTAAGATAAATTATATCATCGCAATATTTTTATTATTTGATGAAAAGAAATAAATTAAAATAATTTACTAAATTAACTTCTAATACAAAATTCTATTTTATGTTAATCAAAATATTTTATTTATTCCAATTTAGAAAAAGAAAATCTTCGAAATAACAATTGTAAGTAATTTAAAATTAATTTGTACTTTAAATAAAAACTGTTTATATTATTTGCTTACAAGATATTTCCATTTGTGGAGAATGAACCGCGCAAATCGAGTACTCACTGTAAGTATAATGTACATTTCTTGCATCGCGGTTTTCACAATCAACAGAAGCAACAAAAAAGTTGAGCTTTGAAGCATTCAGCAACTTGTTTCCAGTAGACGAGTTCATCAATAAAAAAAATAAAATAAAACGATCGCAAGCAAGACTGTGAAAAAGCTTTTAGCAGCGACTAGAAACAGAAACACCACATAAAATGATTGTTTCTATTTACACAAAACATATTGTTGAGAGAAAGAGAGAGTCACAGTTTGTGAACCCATTTTTTTATATAATAAATGTTATGAATATCGAGTCTCTATAAATAAAGTATTGCCCGTGAGCTTGAAAAAGCGACGCAGATAGGAGGAAACTTCAAAAGGCTCCTTCTTCACCAGCAAAGGATAAAAAGTCCATAACAACATTTGTATATGATTTCAAGTGGAAAGGCAAATATACACAATGGTAATTTATAAAAGCGTGACGCGTAAACGTGTTTCGGTCATTCATCCCGGGGTATCGCATTTTAACACAATTACAACTCGAAGCCGTTGTTTCCTTTTACAACGGCGCGTTTTCTTTTTATAGCGAGCAACAATGTGTGTCCCTCTTCCCGAAATGCGATCCGCGGGTGGTGGCTCTACTAAAATTTACGACCACTCCGGCCCAGAAATCCGGGAGAGCTCTGCATGCGAAGAGATTGCACAGATTAAAGGAGGATTAAACGCCTTAAATTCAGTTCAACTTCGTCTCCAAAGTAGTTCCACTTCCGCAAATTGCTTCCTAACCAGATCAATGTTCTTCCTTCAAGAAAACCACTTATTTGCATCGGTGTACGTTCATTACCAACGTCGACCAGGTGGCCAATGTATTAGGTCAAGATACACAGTTGACACTTACCTCTGGCATTGGTTGCAGCATCCGCAATCTTTTGGAATGCTTCCAAATAGGCTGCGACCGCCAAAATCGCTGCTCTGCAAACATACAACACAAATACAATTTTAATAACAATACTCATGACATATTAATTAGGCTTAGTGGAAAATTGTCAAATTTGGACAGGCGACTAACTTCAACTACTTGATTGTAACTTGACCTGTATAGAGAATCGTAACCTCTATATATTTCCTAGACAAGACCAAGTTCCTTAAATTGGACCGGTTCAAGTGTAGGAAAAGTTCAAAGTAATTATTGAACAACAAAACCAAAAAGTTTATATTTTATATGAAATTAAAAACATCATAGGAAACCAGTCTCTTTCATTCGACCGATAATTATGAAACTATTCCACATATTTTTATTCAAATAAACATTAACTTTGTACATCTTGTGTTTTTTCTTTAATTAAAACTATTTAATTCGTCCAAATTCTTCTAAATTTAAGCTGCATTACAGTTTAATTCTATATTCAAGTGCATTCTCACTTACAGGATATGCACATTATTAAGCAAGTTTATGACAGCCCTGATAATTTCTCCAAAACTTACGTTTATTAAAACTTACTAATTAAATTAAGGTATACTTCAAGTTTGCAATATGCAATAAACTATATTATAGTAATAAAGTGGATTACGCAAACTCAGCGTTAATGAAAATTTAGATGCTCAAATTGTAGCAAAAGTTCCGCGCAAAACACGATACATCAAAAACATGCTGTACGGAACATTGTTTCCACGTTAATCACTATAATGGAAAATCAATGTCAGTACATCATGGTTTCTATTAACGGAAGTAATTGGTTGGAAGATTACTTGACCCAATTATTAGAGCTAAGATTAATATATTGGAAATCAATTAAGAAGTAAAAACCACCCGCAGCTGGTGGTGACTATGAGACGATGTTTTATCGACGTCGCAAGTGGAAAGGACGGCTAGAATTAAATTGAAAATCTATTTATTCGGCTCGCAAAGATAATATTATAAGTCTAGATTATAACAAACAAGTCTAGACGGTCGTAATTTGCAAATTTAACAAGACTCACAATTTATCCGCTGAACTGTTAAATATAATCACTAGAACATATTGATTATTCTATAATTAAAACCTGAATTTTAGTCGACGTTAAGCTTAAAATAATTGAAAAATTGACCCAGAAAACCATTGATTCACTATACTCAATGAATTTTGTTATTAATGGATCGTCTAACATTTGAATTCAATTGAAGACTGACTTCCTCCTTCTATAGCGAAAAGAGAAATTGAAAAATGTAAGAAAGGATGCGCGGTTAGGATTGATAAATTGCACTTACTTCAATGTAGAATGTAGTTTGTTGGCTCTGGCTATGAGATCCTCCCACAGTGGCATCCCATTCTGCAACACAAGAGAAAAATGGTCCATGAATAAAGGAAACGCTTTAGGGAAAGAGTCTGAAGGAAAAACGCATAAATCGATCAAAAGCATTACGCTTTTTTGCTCGTGATTCTAAATCCCGGTAGTCGCTCGAGTGTGAAACAGCAGGAGGAGGATATCTCCAGTTTAATAGAGTGTCTAGATAATTCTTATATATTTATTCGTTCGAGTTTATATGCAAAACCCAAGTACAACTTTATATTATAACATGCGGTGCACAGAATAATGACCTTGCCTTGACAGGGAATGTGTACTCTTGGCAAGATCAAGGCTGAGTTTTATTGCAATTGCAAAGCAACCTGCAGTTGTACAAAAGAAGGCAGATGAGCAAGACGAGGAAAAAGCGAACAAGAAACAAAATATATATAAAAAAAAAGAAGAATGAGAAGTCTCTCATAGAATCATACACAATGTGCTAGCTAGACGGAACCGACAGCTGCCTCTGGACTTGATGCCATCGAATCTCTCAAGTGAATGCTCCGACTATTTCCAAGTTCCCTTCCATTTGCTTATACAACACATTTATCGCCAATCATTAACCGATTTATTCTCTTGGAAATGAAATCATCAGTGGTAATATAATTTCATATTATATACAAATACAGGTTCATGTCAACAAGGAAATGATTAAAAAGAGAATTACATAGAAAAAGAAATAAGTTCACATGCTGCTGCCACATTCCCAGTTCAGTTAACTGAGTTTAATGTATTTTCAAACTACTTCGTAGTTACTTTTACTAAAATTATTTATAACATTACTAAAGAAATAAAACATGATTAAATATAATCAAATTATATTATAATGATTTCATTTCGTTATAAAATTAATTTTAATTATTTAATAACAAAATGTAATAGCAATGATTCGTGTTGTTTTTATTTCACACTTTTATGTCTTTAATTAATAAGTTTATATTAACAAGAGAAACTGAAAATAACCAATACTAAATTTATATAACAAATTATATAATAAATCAATTGTGTCTCAATCCTTTTCCATTCATTTCATGTAAGAAATAATTAAAAAAAAATTAAATGGGACAAAAAAAACGTTCTTGAGCAAATGTCAAGAGGAAAGGGTTATACGTATTATTCTTTTTAATTAAGCGTTTGCGTTTCTATTCAGAAGTGGAAAGGAAAACATGTTTCCCCGAGCTAAATTTTATTTTTCATATCTCATCTCTGGCTCTTGAAAGATTCATTGTCAACGGATTTCTGCTGGTGACATGTTGACGATTTATCACTCGAATAAAAACTCATCGATATTTCACTCGCAGATTGCATCTCATACCTAAATCACATTCTGAATGGAAATACGGTTTCGAGTAGCGAAAACAAAATAATTGTATGAAAATATTATTTCCGTTCATTATTTTTAATAATGAATATTTGCAATTTCAATAATACTTTATCATTATTATTATATATTTGTTTATTACAATGTTTATTGGCTATATGTTATTAAATTTAATAAAATACTAGGGTTTTAAAGAATAGTAATCAATACCAAAACGTAGATTAAATTAGCTTATGTATCGGCGTATTGACAATTTAATTTATTTCACTCCAAATATTTATTCCTTCCTGGAAATTATTTTCTGCTATAATTTTATTATAAAGTTTTTATGTTTTTTATGGTTGAATAGATTTGTTGCTAGAATAGATCCTTACTAGTTCAGAATTAGATGAAACAATTGTGAAAGATTTAGTAGCATTATGAATAGACTGAAAAAATATATTTTTTTCTATCAAAGCTTTGCTCATGATAAATACTAATCAATTTTCATATGTCTAAATGTTTCTCTGGAAATATGTTCTTACGGAGTTATCAATCATTCGTATTTATCCTGTAAATGTGTTTGCTACTGTAAGTCATTACTCAAATTGTCTTCATTCTATTGTGACATACGTTAGTTCGTTAAAGCTCACCCTACGCTTTATTTACTACAGATGCTTTAGCTCCATATAGTTTTATTTATGAGTATGTTGATTTGTATCATCTCTATGATTAATTGTTATTTTTTTTATTAATATGTACGAGGGGTCTAACAAAAGTTCGCTAAATTTTATAGATAATTTCCATTTATTTCAAAACATTTGGAGCTTTTCAACTTTTAATTAATGATCTCTACATTGAAACTGAAGACTCTTAATTCAATTTTTTAATTTTCGGAAACAGCCAGTCAGTAGAACAAGATGCTGGGCGAATTTCATTGATGTCAGAGAGCGCAAAAAAGTTGTTGGTTATTCCAGTAGTGTGAGTGGGCGCATGCATGATGGTGATATAAAAAGTAACGAAGAAGTTCCCGTTTTTTCTGGTTTCCCAACAAATTTTTGAAAATTAGTAGTAACCAAGTTTCTACGTACTACTTAGCAGTTACCATCTGACCAGTTTCGAGTGAGATAGCAGCTACCACTTTTACCCTGGTAAAGTAAATCAACATCATCACTTTTGTTGCTGATTTTTGTTGTCTTGGTTTCCAGGTCATATTTATAGAAGATTCATCACCTGTTACGATTCTACTAAATGTGCTTGAATCTACATTTTCAAAATTTTCCAATAAATATTCCGCAAAAGGAACGCTTGTCTTTATTTGGTTGTAATTTAAAAATCGTGGAACCCAACGAGCGGATTTCTTCGTGCAGCCAAAATGATAACTTCATATTTGCGACAAAGCCATGGCATACATATCATTTCCTGTGTCAGTCTTGGATCTACGTTAATTTTTACCTTCACCAGGGCTACATTTGTACTATCGGTCGAAGATTTCGGGCAACCTTCATGAGGCAATAGTCACATTTACTCTATATACATTTTGGCTTGAGTTGACGTCGAAATCCGTAGAGAATGACAAAACAATTTTTTTTCTGTGTTGGTGGTGGAATTATCATTAACAAATTGAGAAACAACTTTTGTTTTTTTTCAGAAACAAATGAATTAACACCAACTCAGCGAACTTTAGTTAGATCCCTCGTATATATATTATTAATCTCTATGTTATATAAGGAATGGACAAAAACAAATTGTAAAGTTTAACCGCGCGTTTTGCGCGATGAACCGAAAAATTAATTTTGAAACATTATGATACTATTCATGAATAATGTTTTAACGTAACTAAAAATCTAACGATTTGATACTTCTAGAATTTTTATATAAACGTTAAGAAATGAGAAAAATAGAAATTGATTTTCATCAAATAAAAAAAGCGATTAAAAAAGAAAACGAACGTTTAGGTAATTATTTCAATGTTTGGAGCTATTCAATTTTGATTCAAACATGCTTTAATGTTAGAAACGTTTCCTTGTATAAAACCAATTTAAATAAACTATTTTTATTTATTACAATCATAGCAATATTTTAATGAATTTATATTCCAATTAGCGAAACAACATAAAATAAACATTACGTAAGAAAATTTAACAATAAAAAAAACAAATAATTATCCTGGAGTGCTTAGCTTCGTACGTTCTTTAACTATAATTGTGCTAAATTAATATGCAAATTCCGCTTGCAAGTCCAGTCTGCAAACTACCATATTTTTAAGACCCACTACGCTGGAACGTACTTTTTATTAGCATGTCTTATATTTTTTTAAAAACATAATTAAGTGGTTAACTGTAACGTGTTAAAGTTTATGGTAGGCCAAACAGATTAAATGGGATCATAAGAGCTGACCACTTACATAAATTACTCTAAGCGTGCGAAGTCTTCGCTTTATATTTATATTTAAAAAAAAAACCAGGAAAGTTTCGCTTAATTTCAAAATCTGTGTTTGTTTATGTTGCATATTGTGTAACAGTTGTTGCCTTTTTTTGTAAATCAAGGATCTGTAATATTCGTATTTTCAAACTGTCGTCGATTTCTCTCTATTCGTGTCATATGTTTAAATAATTACGAAGAATTAGGTAAAAAATGCGTTTATTGTTTGCAAATGCAAACGTCTGATTGTTCGCTTATAACAATTTTCACGATTGTGTATAGGTCATTGCTAAAAGGAGGTTACAGTCAGAACCTTTCGATATTGCAAACTTCGAGATTAACCGCTAAATCACGTAGGAAACTTTATTTAGTCGTTTCTTTCTTTCATTATTTTCTGATACATCCACTTTACTTCATCTCCAATAAGACGAGATCTTCTTATGAAATAGAAGGAGGCTCGCGTCACGTCACGTAACCTGACCTAGTCCAAGTTGACTACTCTTGAAGAATACGAATACATAAAATGTACTAGTAATGTATGCACCATCTGACCCACATAATGCACTTAACATTAGAGACGACTTGTATCTGTCATAACTGGATTCATGACGGACAGAGTTTAGAGACGGGCTTCAAATCTCTGTGTGTACTTATTTAGTTAAACTACTTGAAACTCATCGTTCGTAATTCACTTCTGAATGGACAATTTAAATTCACTTCCATTTGATTCAATTCAATGACAATCGCATACTTCGCTAACACACGTTCCGATTTGAATTCGAAAGGCACTGCCAACACATAACAGTTTCATTATTTTAATCTTAAAATACCAGTATACAACAATACCTCGCATAGTGCTGCTTCGATCAGTCCGGAATCACTATAGTCCGGTTTAATAATTTCAAAACAAAATAAAAATATATTCTAAAAATAATAGTAACAAAAATTATTAAATGATCAATGTTTTCCTATATACAGTCATGTCTCATTTTATACAGTTTTTAGTTTCAGTTACTTATAAGTTGTACATAAATAAATATAAATAATAATACATATTTATATTAAATGGAGATTTCATCTAAATGTACAAATTTTAAATTGTATCAAATGAAATTTTTTATTTGCTTATATCAAAATTCAATTATTTAAATTCTGTTTTTATTGATGTGACAATTTCCCAATTAAAATTTGTATTCGATCGAGTAACAATACATTTTTTTGCAAATTTATCGACCTGACCCAGATCGAAATCCTTTCCAAA